CTGTTGAACTAATAGTTATTGATGGTGTCGTGAGCTCAGGTTGAGTGCTTCGTAACGGATATGAATTATAACATGTTTTTTCTTATATTCTCAGTTGATAAATTTAAAAATTATTAACAAAAAACTAAGGTTCCAACTCCTTCGAGCAAAATTTAACCTTTGATTTTTGGGGCCATTTTTTATCCATTCTGTGCATACAGTTTCTCGTGTAAGGTTTTTGTACATTATAAGCTTTAACATTTTTATGTTTTGATTAAGGTTAATCAATCATGTCCACACTTAATCTTAATAAATTCTCGGAGTTAACTTCCATAAATTACTTTTACAATGGCCATTCTGCACTTCTTATAAGTAAGAAGGATATAGGTTGAAATTTTAAGTTTAAATTCCATGATAAGACCTCGATTTTATTTCAGCATCAAATAAAAAACCGTAGTTATTAGTTAACCATTTCATATGTCATACAAGCTTGTTTGGAAAGCTAGTACTAGTCGCAATAACATAGAAAATTAAAATGAGAATACAAAAATAAAGTAAATTATATTAAACGGCACTTTCAGAATGAGAACAGGTGTAAATAGATCATCAAAGATACCAGGGTAAACATTTAGTACGCCAGACGCGCGTTTCGTCTTCATTGAACTAATCATTGACGTTCGAATTAAAAAAAAGATAAAACAGGCAAATAAAGAACGAAGTTGAAGAGCTTTGGGATCTCAAAATTTTAAAAGGTTTTGCTAAATACAGCTGAGGTTATTATATCTATTTCTGGGGTAGAAGGTCTTCTTGGGGAAGATACATAGTCAATATATACAGGTGCTATTGGAATGCTGCTACACAAGAATGAAAAAATCACAATATAACAAACCTTTGCTCAGTAATATAATAATTTCAAGATGTCGTGTTTATCGTTTAAAACTAAAAAATGAGATTCTATCAATGGCTTGCATGCATTTTAGATTCGGAAACACGCCTTGGAGAGGAAAGAAAGATATACGGACGTTCCGAATTCAGATTGAAAAAAAAATATTTAGAAGGGTATTGGAAACCTGATCGATGAATACATTGTTATCCCATCGCATCGGATGTACATTATTGAATAAGTGCCGTTAATTAAATACACCAAGTTGTTTTGGCCGTATATTAAAATAAACACCTCAGGATCAACGGGTACGTTTTATTGTTAAAAGTAGTATATATAATGACCCTGCAAAACAAATACAAATTATCAGTACAAAGAAAGATAACTCTATTCATTCTAGATGACGATATCCAAAATACAGTACTCAGATATTTCCTACTGGACAACTAAGGTTTTTCATGTAATTGACTTATAAATCTATATACAGAGAATGTAAACCATGGGAAATATTGTTCTCATAATAAATTACACCTCTTAATGTTTAACATATATAACAGGTCTTTCGATCAAAATCAATAAAAGTAATAAATTATTACACATCAAGCAAAACCTACTGTACATATACAAAAGCCGAATAGTAGTTCCTGAGTAATAATGGCACATGTCGTGTTGTTCATGTCATTGTAATGCTGTCTGATTACTAATACAGTAAAATACAACTGTCTCATCCGCGAATTCTAGACGAATATTTTTGACAACTTCTAGTTCATTTTAAGAGTTATATTTACAATAAACATGGATAATTGAGTTGTCTTCTTCTCTATAAAAGTATTTTTTTGATTTTTTTAAAATATAATACTAGCATAGTTAATGTATACTCATCTTTATATTAATTGGTATTTATGAAAGCTACTTCCTGATTGAAGACAACGTATATATGAAGTAAAGGAAAACGTGGGATATACACGACAGTAGGACAGCAGTTCAACAACAAAAACACGAAAAGGAAAATAAAGGTCATCATAGAGTGTTAGATCAATATTAGAGTATGGTAATGTTGTTTGGTCAACTGCTCTCAGCATGAGTGCGAGCATCTTGAAAATATCCAGATAGAAGCTGCTAGAATTATTACTGGACTACGGCGTAATTCCTCAAGACATAAACTTTACATAGAATTAGGATTAGGAACTCTTGAGAATAGAAAAAAGAAACTTCTGCTTATACTGTTTTATAAAATACAAAGGTGGTGCTTAATACTACAGAGAAATAACTCTGTAAAAATCAGCTGGACGTTTTAAGGTAGATTCACTGTATACCACCATCTTGGATTGTACAATAGCAATACACAATCGGTCTAGTTCTTTGTCTAAATCTTCAAATTTTGAGACAGATTTGCAATGTATGTGCAATACTGCTTATTTGTGTAAAGAAAAATAGGTGAATCATTGCATTATCCAAAATGTTTAAACAAAACTAAATATTTATGTTTTTAGAATCAATTTTTTAACTTGGCCATTTAAGGGAAGTTAACTCTTATAGTAAAAAAAAATACACTGGAATGTGAAAGCACTCTGTTTACATCCACTAAAATAACTGAGTATAGCAATAAAATATCAAATGATATAAAAATCTTTTTAAAGCCTTTAAAATATAAAAGGACAATAAAACATCTTTCCGCCATGAAAAAAAGCACAGCACTAAAATGCAAAAAGGAGCAAATGGAACTTGAAATTATTAAATTGGCGCAAATGTCATACGCTCAAAACTAAAACTCGGTGACACCATTTTTTATTTTTATTTTTTTATAGTATCAAACCTATCTTCTCTTATTTCATTTCAAAATTCTATTTATTTTATTTAAAAATATCCATTTGTTTGATGTGTTTGAATTTTTGATTTTGCCATTTGCTTATGGACTTTCCGTTTAGAATTTTCCTCGGAGTTCGGTATTTTTGTTATTTTACTTTTTTCTATTTCATATATTTCTTTTTATTCACAAAAATGTGTTTTTTTCATGAACAATCTATACAAATTTGGGCATTTTGCACGACTTGTAGCTTGAAAAATAGCATGGTGACCCATACTTTTTATTATGTTTTTGAAAAAAAGCATTAAAAAAACCTTCATTTTTGCTAAGTATAAAAAATTCTATCAGAGGAAATATATACAGATGATCCACCTTAACCACGTTCTATTGTTAAGGAAATATTAAGCTTCTCAATGATAAAAAATAGTGTTTGTCAAACTATACATCCAATGAAAGTTTTCCGATTGAGTGTGTGGTTCAAATTTTTTTTTTCATTTTTTTATATTTTTGACAAAGGGGCAAAGTTAATATTTTGTCAAAATTTTATGAAATTTAAACGAGCCAAATTTATTTTAGTCAATATGTTTAGTACCAACTTAAATTGGATGATACCTGTCTACTTATATGAGTTAGTCCAGCCATATTTCCCAGACAAACCCTGAGAATACTTTTCACCCCACATGCTAGAACTGCATGTAACTCTTTCTTTACTACTTTCATTCTTCCACTATAAGGCTTTAGAATAATCCTCTAAGTATATTAAAAAACCAAGTTTAAGTATATTTAATAGTAGACTAGACAAATTTCAGAATTTCAAATGCAATATTTAAACCTTTCAGTTATAGGATAAAGAAACATAATATCAGTCATTTTCAACTTAGTAATAATGCTAGCAACCTAAATTCTCATTTGTTTAATCATTTTTTTATCACAGAACACTATTTATTCAAACTGTATCCACCATGTTGATGATAACCAGTATGTCTTTTTTATTTGCCCTCAGTACAATGATGTAAGACAGATCTTACTTGATTCCTTTCACTCAATTGTTGATAATAATGTTGACATAGAAATTTATTTTGGAAATAGATTATTGTGCAGTGAATAATTAGGTAACACAAGACTCATTACAGAAATGAAGGATGTACAGAATAAAGAAATCCTATAATTACAGAAAAATTATTAGGAAAATTATGTTCATGAGAATTTTACAGAATAAGTGATATGTTTTCAAAGATAAAGAAAAATGCTCTAAATATTTAAAGAATATAAAAACAGAGGTCCCCCACCCCGACCCTCTGTTATTATAGTCACAAGATAATCACAATTGTTTTTTAGCATGGAATCGCAGTAATTCTGTAATGTTATAGAAGATCTCATAGAAAGGTAAGCCGGTTTCTATTTTAGTCGTTATGTTACGAAGAAAATTGTGGTCAGTAGATCAATCAGTGCGTAAACAAATATCATGAAGATAACAAACATTACGTGTACATTTAAAAATGAATATGATAAACTTTTAAATGTAGGTCACTAAAGTCTTTAAATAGACGAACTGCGAAGTTGTTCAAAACAGGAAGTTTCATTCGTGTAATGTGTTTGTCGAGTGAGTAGAATTATTTATTTATATTGCAGCATGTACTCTTTCATTTTTTTTACAGTTTAATTTCTTTCTTTTATCAATGGACCTGATAACAAATTTAATATTATTTGTACTTTTGATTTCGTTTAAGGTTCATATGGACCCTTTGGCTAAAATGGCTGCATTTTCACCTCAAAATTTACTCTGAGTAGAGACAAACCTGTGTATCTGGTAAAGTTTTAAGGCATAGCATGCCCTAGATAAATAAATTATAAATATATTTTAGGTTTTAGAAAATTAAAAACTTAACAGGATTTTACAGTGCACTTTTTTTCATTCCTCCAGAAGGTGCCAAAATAAACTAAGTTGGGAAAGAGGTTTGAGAACTTCCCCATAGGTAATAATTGAGGTGAACTGTATTGATTGACATGGACAATAGATGGACAATAAATACCTGACAATAACTGGTGATTTAAACTGTGTACCTGAGTGGACCATATCAAGTGAAACTCAACTGTTTGTTAATTTTATCATCTTCTGCAGGGACGAAAAAAAGTGCACTGCAAAATCCAGTTAAGTTTTAAATTTTCTAAAACATACAATGCATTTGAATTTTATTAATCTAGGGCATGCTATGCCTTAAAACTTTTCCAGATGCACAGGTTTTTCTGTACTCAGAGTAAATTTTAAGGTGAAAACGCAGCCATTTTAGCCAAAGGGTCCACATGAACCTTTTTAACACGCATACATGTAGTTTTACATCTCCGAGAGGTTATTGAAGTCAACTGTTGGCCTATATCTGTATATATATACGGGCCATTTTCAAAAAATGAATTTTCAGTACACCGTCTTATGCTATAATTTTATTTTTAATGGAAAATGCAGTTGTAAGTGTTTAAATGAAAGTGTGTAGGATATATTAGTTTGAACATCAATAATAAACAAGATTTAGATCTATTTTGGTAAGATTAAAATATATTGAAGTCACATGTTTACATAAAAGAGGGACGAAAGATACCAGAGGGACAGTCAAACTCATAGATCGAAAACAAACTGACAACGCCATGGCCAAAAATAAAAAGACAAACAGACAAATAATAGTACAGATGACACAACATTTATGTGCGTACAGTGTCAGGGTATAACGCATTTTTTTCTATTTTCTGATAGCCTATATATCTGCAAATAGACTCTTTTTTAGAATATGTTAATGATAACTGGAACGAAAAATCACAGCTTCTTTATTATTCTATCATGTCTATGTATTACATTATACTTACATTATTTCCACAAACTAAGTTCAATCGGAGTACATGAAATGCATGTCTATCCTCTTACCGATCCTTTGATCAACCGTTAATTTTTTTCTCCCTGTGAATATGTAACTATTCAGTGATGATTTCAAAAGCCCAAAGCATCATAAAAATTTTACCCAGCACGTTTCTTGCATAACAGTGTAGAGAAAAGTAAAATTCAAGGCATTTAATGAAAAAAAATAGTGGGAACCCTTTTATCATGTATATGCTGTTACCAACAAATTTATTAACTACAACACGTCTTGGAAACCAAAATCACAGCAGAAAAACTTTAGCACTGCATCAAAGGGAGTAATTATTTCACAACAGCATTCACAAATGAAGAAATTTGCAATACTGCTTACAGTAACAGGATAGACAACTAGAGGTTCTAAAGAGCCTGTGTTGCTCACCTAGATCTATATCGATCTTCAACAATGGACACTCTCCAACATTGTGGACTAGAATAGAATTCATAAAAAAAATCTCTATTTTGTATTGCTGATCATGTTTTCTGTTTACAGTTTCTATCTCTTAAGTCTTTGCCTTAAACACAAAAAGGATAAAAAGAATTGTCATTTAAGGGAAATCACTCCTTTAAAGAGTCTACTACATGTAACAACTTCAGCAAATTTGACTTATTTGTAGAAATGTTTTTGCTGATCATTTTTGCTATTTAAAGTGTCTGTCTATATTTTATAGTCAAAAAAACGAATATATTGAAATAAGGAGTCGACCGAATATTTTGGCTATGTTGATTTATTTGTAGATCTAGTGTTACTGGTCATTTTTACCCGACCACAAAATTTTTGCGTTCGTATTATGCTATTCTGCGTCGTCGTCCGCACTAAGGCGTCATTAATATTAAAATAAGGAGATGTGGTATGATTGCCAATTAGACGATTTAACAATGCAAACTTGATTGTTGATCTTGTCTTGCTGATCCTTATTTAAGTTTTTATCTATCTATTAGTTTTTCAGATATTAGATCCCAAAAAAATATATAAATCGTCATTAAAGGGCCATAACTCCAATAAGGCATCGTCAAACGAGTTTAACAATGAATGTTATTTGTAGATCTTGTCTTGCTGATAATTTTTCAGTACAACATGGAAAATTGACAAATAATCTTATATTACACAGAATGAAAATATATAGATTTATCTGAAGTTTTTTCTGTTGAAAACTATCTTATTGACCATAAATAACAAGCTTAAAATGTTCCATTTAATTTCAATGATGTCTACAAGTGTTAATCTAATATATAATCCAGCTTTTCCACTTTTCGATAAAAGGGTCAAGGGACCAGTGTCTTTTATTGAAGTTTGGTGTACAAATAAGATTCAATGCTTATGTGTGCAGGTTTTTGCCTTTTAATACGTTACCTCCTATAATCCTTATTATAAGTTCCTCTAAGCTTTGTTTTTATCTTACGTAAATCAACTCTTTCACTTTCGATGAAATAATTATAAAGATTCAAACGGGACTCATTTAATCTTCCAGACGTTAATTTTAAAAATTTTATCTCCTTGTGCTTTTATTGTTTTTCACTTTGTAGGATGAAATCATAATTGGCGTAAAACAACGCAATCTTGAATATATACTTGATGTTCAGCGACTTCATCAAATACCTTACTAATGAAAATCAGGCATCTAAGAAGGAAAGGAAAATATTAATTTCACTATGTGAGATTTAAAATATCTGAAGACTTAAGTTAGTACATGTATCATAAAAACCCTTGGAGGACTAAAGTTTTGCTTGCACTCCATTTTCAAACTAATGTATTTGAAGCAACATTTAGTACTGCAGAGTTAATACTATTTATTTAAGTCTCATTGTAAACCATAAAGGAATTTATTTAAAACAATGAAAATACTAGTTATAAACTGAGGTCTCTCCGATTAAAACAGTGCATAGAGTGAAAATTCTATATTGATATGTATATGAAATCTAATCAATAGATGAACCATTCAAATATTACGTCGCGATATAATTGTACAGTAATTTCAGAAATTTTTGCAACGTTTTTTTTTTTAAAGCGATTGGATTTGATTCGGAAAAATTAAAACTCGTATTTTCAATAGTAATATTTGGTGCAGCGTTTCCTGAAATTACAATTATTAATCTTTGCATTTGTGTCCAATTTTCAACAATCAAAATAATAAATGCACGCAAAATTTTCTAAATTAATAGTCTTTTTGTGATGACTTAACGTTAAGCAAATGAATCATCAATCAGTCATGCAAATGTCTTGCTTAAAGGGTTTTCCCTTAATATTCTAAAAGTACCTTCCCTGTGTACCACGTAAATCGTTTGTACCAACTTACTACAGATATAAACAAACCATTGGACGGACAACGGAAGTATATAACATGATATGCTATAATGTAGCCAATGCATTTCGACCAGGGCACGCAAATAGTCAAAACTTTCCAGCTTGAGATATTTTTTTCCTACATTGGTTTTGACATTTTAATTTACTTAAAGTTTCGTAAAGTTTGTTGTTGTATATATGTAGGACTCTGAACCGCGATGGTATTCCGAATCGCGATGGTCACACTGAAGTACGATGGTTGGACGTTGAGGTGCGTTTTTGATCACGCTGAAGTACGATTGTGGACATTGTGACGCTATCTTGTTGATAACTATGCCAAAGTGCGTTGGTGGTAACGTGGGAAGTGCGATGGAATACATTTAATTTAACTATATTGTCAATGCTTTTCATATCGATGAAGAAGTTAATTTGTTTGTTGGAAGCAGTTTTTCGGGATTTTAAGTTATAAACTTGTAATATACTACGGGAAACAGGGGGTGATTGATGGAGAGGGGAAAGTTAACTTTCTATAGCGGATTTTTTTTTTTCGTATCTTCAAAGGGTTCTTTCTTTGCGTACGATGGAGCGTGGCATAATCTTAATACACACAGGTCAACACACAGACTCTTCGTATTATAATATTACGGTAAACGAGGAACTCATGAGAGGAACAAAGTAGAGATAAAATGTTAACGCAGAATTATGTTAACATGCAGAAAATAAAAGAGGACGATTTCTTATTTAGTATGCAACTGTAACTAAGGACATTCATAGACACAAACGAATAAAAATTTACCTGCTGATGTTTGAAATATCTTAATAATTGCACATCTGCAGATTTTAACTAGCCAGCACGCGTCATATAGACCATCGCACTTCGGCGCAGACCATCGCACTCCAGCGTGACCATCGCACTTTAGCGTCCCCATCGCACCTCCGAGTCTTTCATTTAATTACAAAAAAGTTGAGAGGGGCAATCAAAAAGCATAAGTCGTAGAAAAGCAGTCAACACCATGCCCAAAATTATAGACTCTTTAAAGACAACCAACTCTCAATAGTGAAAACAAAGATCGGTGATGTAACAATCAAGGGAAAGAGGGCAACAGTGTTGAATATATCCATGGTCATCTGTGACACAGATATTCCGGTCAAACTAATCATGATAGCGACCATAATACTGAATATGTACAATTGACCTAAAAATAAAAATGTGCATATGTAATGAGTAAATCCTTATAAAGGTGAAACATTTCGTTATTTTTTTCTTAAATACACATGAAATTGTTTCTACAGAATAGAGATATCCATTTCCTGTAACATAATACGTCGAGGGCGCGTTGCATTCTCTTCATAAAAAAATATCATTCATATACAGTATATATCAAAAAATCCTTTTCGGGGTTGTACTCAGATTAAGCGCTTATCTTTTCCGAGATTATTGAGTTCATATTTTGAGTTTGGTTTTTTTCTTACTTTTTTAATAAATATCACTTTATATATACTGCTTACATGACATGATAATTCCATCTAAAACTTTCACACTTTCTCTAAATTCTTGACTGCATGTACACCAGTCAATGTTATTTGGATTTACATTTTTGTTTTTAATATTTAATCCATTTTGTACGTTTCTTTTCAATTTTGAATTTAATTTGTTGTACTCGCTATACAAGCATCTATAATTGTTTACATTCCATTTTAAAACATTAAAAAGAACATGGATTCCTCTGATTTTAGGACAAAACAATAAACAATGGCGAATTCTGGGAATCACCTAATGGTTGCGGCTTTAGATTTTGGTACAACGTACTCTGGCTATTCATTTTCCCTGAGGGATGAATTTGTTAAAGATCCATTAAAAATACAAGCAAACCCTGTATGGAAGGCTGGAAGTCGACAATTCATGTCAATGAAAACTCCAACGTGCCTTTTATTAGACGACAAACGAGAGTTTGTAGCCTTCGGGTACGATGCAGAGAATCAATGGGCAGATTTATTGTTAGATGAAGAACATGAGGAATACTATTATTTTGAACGTTTCAAAATGAATCTACATAATAATAAGGTACTTTATTTATCATTAATTACAAGTTATATATAGTGCGGGTGCGGGATTTTCTCTCTGTGTTGAAGACCCAGCGGTGGCCTTGGGCTCTTTTCTGCTCTTTGATCGGGTTGTTGTCTCTTTGACATATTCCCCGTTACCATTCTCAATTTTAATATAATAAATATAGTACTCCCGCCTCGGTGGTCACTTGATAGCATTTTTTTCTCGAGTGTTGGAGTCTGGCATCCTGGCCATACCTTCTTTTCGAGTCAGAACTACCGAGCAGCAAGTCAGGATACCAAGTAGCGTCAACAAAAAAAAAGATTTTAAAATTACTAGTAGCTGCTTCTCCGCTAAACACACGGCGTTTATGAGTAAGAGTAGTAGACTGGTCGGCTAGGATTCAGATTAAGTTGTCCTGGTAGGTTGACACGCGTTGCTACCGACTGTTACCTTGGAAACTAGCGCGTTGGATATCCGTCACAGCGTATCTGTCTAATACATATTCATATTAATAACACATTTACGTGTTTGCGTCCTAATATGCATGTAGTATTTGCCACTGGACGTTAAACTCCAATCCATCTTCATCCTCAAAATCTATATATAACTTCATAAGACGGAGTTACAAGGTGGTCATGGCAAAGCAGTTTAATCATAATTACAACAAGGACACACAATATCAAAGAAAAGGAAATTGTGTTAAAATACAAACTTACTTTATGAATTGAATCGTTAATAAGGACATAAAACACATGTGCACAATAATTAAGGTTACAAAACAAGTTTCAGATTCATAAAAACACATATCCAAACCATTAAGATGATCCGAAATCAACAGTTCGAATTTTCACATATTGAAGATTACGGAATGTATCTCCCTCTGATTCCTTGTCCATCTTGGACTTTTCTTTAAATAAATAAATAAATAAATAATCTTTATTTCAAGAGGATAATCCCATTAGTTAAAACTAATCTTCCTGAGAGTCCTCAAAATAATAATAACATATCTATAAGTACATACAATATTATAATGATATATTATACACAATATACAATTGTATCTAGATAATAATGAATCAAAGTACTGAAGTACTGAACATCGGATGACCGCAGGTTCTTGTGTATGGTCAAAAGCACATGTCACAGAAACAGATCACATCTCTATACCTGAAACTGAGGTTAATTTACAGAGATTTTTTTTTCTGATACAAGTTCCTGCTTGGATGATGAATAAATGACAGGAAATTCAACCTCACCGTAATAACTATTATATTGTAGTGATACAAATTAGTATACCTTAGACTATTATACTAATATAATAATAGTTCCAGAGAATACACTGGTTTGTTGTTATATATTATATTAATATTACGGTTGCATGTATATATAATTTTCATCTATTTGTATATCATTCTATTCTACTATTATTATAGTGCAGTGCAAGTGCATGGTGGACACTCTTCTGTAAAAAAAATCAAAGCCTTAAAGGCTGTAAAAGCAATTGCTGCCATGTTAATGCTTTGTGGACTTTTATTTTTCATCCATATATATAAGAATTAAACCTGACAGGACAGGAGTGTTGACTAGTGAGAAGCAAGACGGTTTTAACTTTATATCAATAAAAGACTTAAGCAGGAAATCATTTTAAATATGTTTTATATTTCACAAGGAGACAACAAGTTTACCAGGCTAAAGTTGGGGTTAATTATACATGTGCTGAAACATATAACTAAAAAAAAATCAATAGGATTGTCCCCTGGTAGTGTTTGTAACTGGGCAATAATTTCCTTTATTGATTTAATTTTAACAATTTTCATAATTAATTTAAATTAACCATTCAGTTAAAACATTTCAACTTTCCAGACGCAAATGTTGAAAAACGGGCAAGAAATAAAATATCTTACAAGACATAAACATGTAAAAAATAAATATATATTTCAGCTTACTAAAAAATATTTTCATAATGTTACTTTGACATCATTTCTTAAAACTAAGTCCCAAACATAATTGCTCAGTTGATATGTGTCATCCTCATGCGATACGAGATAACTATAATTCTGATGCAATCCCGAAAAGGGGGGTCATCACAAACAAACATGACATTAAATTGTCATTATACGAACTAGAACAAACAGCTCTATGTTGCTTTGATATTTATCAATTTTCAGGAAACATGTGAAATAAATTTCAGGTCCATTTCATTATAGTGCCTAACAAGATTGTGTGAGGTAGACGAAATTGACATTAAAACGATCGTATTGTCTTTTGATGTCCAAAAATAGGCAGATCGGACATATAAGGACTTTATCTAATGACTACATAAATTTGGGATTTATTATTATTATAATATTCTAATGAAACTGAAAATTGTATTTTTTTGTTAGGATACACAACAATTTTACCTGGCATAGCCGTGCATAAAATGTTTTTCTGCGAAAATGGCGTATTTAATGGAATAGAACGTTAATACAGTAAACTTTCTCTTTTTTCTCCGCAATAGGCTATCAAAAATAATTTATCTAATGTGTATGTGGAAAATTATGTGAAAAGATAAAAAGTGGCAATTGTTACCTTTCATACCTTAAGTTTCATTCATATGCCGCTATTATTGTTGTTGTTACCAATTATGTAAATCAATTGTATCTGATTTTATGCCCTTTATGGGCCCTGTAATTTGGAAAATACAAAAAAAATATCTATTCATTGATTAAACGTAATATGGACTGGTCCAGTGTCCAGTTTGCAGGTCATTTAATTTACTGTACACATTCATGCACGCTCTGATTTAATCTATATACTCGTACGAAAAAGCATGAACAGTTTGAAGGTAATCTAATAATAACTTAATCCAATCAAATTGCATAAGATTCAATAACAATGTCCAGTCCACATTATAATGAGTAATAGGGGTAAACTTGGTAGGGAGAAAATGACAGATATTTCAAGTTAATATTTATGCAATAACGAATTAAAATTTGTCAACCAAAAGTTTTGCTACAATTTCAAAAACATGTCGTTCCGTATGGGTATAGTTTTCGGATCTTTCATTAGCGTATTTAAGGCTATAAAAAGTTTGGGCTTCAAAAGTTCACACAATTATTGACTTTATACAGAAAATTCGTCCTTGTAAAACATCTAATAGTTCACAAATGATACGCGATTTTAAAGTAAAATTATTTCTTAAAACACTGCAAAAAATTTCATTCATATTGATAAAGTGGTATCGTCATAAAGTGCGTTGAAATGAACAGTGTTATAGCAAACATCGAATTCCCTCACAAAATGTTATCACACACTATAGTAAGGAGAGTCAGTTAAGTTTGTTTATTTTTAGATTACAGGTAATCATTTGACATTACGTATACAACCTGTGTGACCTGTGTAGTGATTTTGATTTTACGATAAATTCATGAATGAATGAACGATAATTTTATGAATGAACATGAGCACCTGACCTCTTTCTTAAACACCAATTAAACATATAAAACCGTATTTAAAAGGAGATAATTCAGTCAAATTTTCAGTACTATATCAACAACTGAAATGATTCCATTTTTTGATGAAACATCGTACGAACGGAAAACGGAATCGCAGGTATAAAAATGCACTTTTTCCCCTTGTAATGACCGCGGATCTATAATTTTTATAGATCGGTTGAAATCCCAAAACTAATTTGCATAATGGAAATTTAGGCGATAGCAATACATCGGAATGACCTGAAGGTCCTTGTAATGACCGCGGATCTATAATTTTTATAGATCGGTTGAAATCCCAAAACTAATTTGCATAATGGAAATTTAGGCGATAGCAATACATCGGAATGACCTGAAGGTCATCCTCTGTAAAAAGCATATTAATTTGCACAATTGATGAAAAATTTGTAACATTTTGTTTCATTTGGTAAACTGTTCCATATTTGAGAACCTGAATATGTAAATGTTTTCTTTAAAAAGTTTGTTTTTGGTTTCGGAAGATTTAATAGTTTTTCATCAGCCGAACGTAAATTATAATTCTGATTACCAATAAAATGAAAGTTTTCTTGTAAATAGTTAGGAACCATATCATTTAATGATTTAAATACAAGTATTGCCTTTTGATATTGAATGCGTTTTTCCACATTTAACCAGTTTAAACTATTAAACAACAAACTGGATGATGTCATTATGTCAGCTTCTACTATAACCCTAGCAGATTTCTTTAATAACTTATTAAGTTTATTTATACCACTTTCATAGCAACTTCCCCATATATTGCAACAATAATCAAACAATGGCAGAATATAAGCATTAAAATAAATAATACGTATATGCATAGGTAAATATTTTCTTATCTTTTGTAATAAATTGATTCTATTTGATATTGTACATGACATTTTATCTATTTGCTCATTCCAATTTAGGTTTTTGTCGATATATAAACCGAGAAGTTTTTCACAATCTACATTCTCTATTTGTTCATCTGAAATTTTGATATCTAAACTTTCGCTCGTCATGCATGGAATTTTATGGGCTCTTCAACGTTTGTATTAAATTTTGGATTTTTCAATAAGTTTGGCTTCGAGCATCACCGAAGAGACATTCGTTGTCGAAATGCGCATTTGGGCCAGTTAAATTGGTTCCAGCTGTATTAGTGTAAACAATCAAACAACACAATATATCTATCGGTATCGTATTTCTCACAACCAAGACCGTTATAAATTGACTGTGGTCATTTAAGAAGTTGATAGTCACAAACAATTCGCAAATTCATTACACTTCTAGCTATTAAGTAAACGACCTTTTAACTTCAAAAAAGGGGGGTATTGTTTTTTCCTAAAAAAATATTCTGATCCCCAATTTGATGGAAAAAAAGTTCTGAAACTAGATTTTCCCCATAACTTTATAGCGTTAAATTGTATGGGTTATGGACAATAAAACATTACCCCCTCCCCACCCCCCCCCCCCCCCCCCCCCCTTCTGCTCTAACGTTTTGCCTTTTATTACTCCTTAAAGCACAACGTGAAGGAAATAGTTTTGTTTTGCAATTGATTGTAGCTTCCATAAAATAAAGATTTATAATTTGTTCAAAATTTTATAAGCTTAAAAAAAATACTAGAATTTGAAAAACAGAAATTTGCATTTATTTGAATATTTATATATATTATGAGACGCATGCATGCATTTCATTGGTACATGGTACGCCGGTAATGTTGTAGGTATATCCGAATGCATACCATTTAGGTGTTGACTCCGATAAATATAAATCAATTAATCAATCTGATCCTGTTTTATAGATTTTTGCTTTAAAGAAGACGTGAAGACTACTCCCACTCCTCTTCCCCGTCAAAACATGTTCATAATTCTTTTTTATGATGTTCGCTCCTCCAATTCAAAATAACAAGCTTTTTAAAAGACTACTATACATTGATAATACATTAATAACGGAACTTAAAAAGCGATATAAAATGACAGTTCCGTGTCCTCGTTTATGAGCTACATGTATAATCAATTGAAAATTAAGCGGAAAATATTTCTCTTTCAATTTTCCTTCATTTAACATTTAACATTGACACATTTTTCTTTCAAAAACTATTAAAAAAATAGCAAGGACTTGATAAAATTTTCAAAAATAGCTATTGGAACCATTTGTTATAAAACTATGAAAAGAAAAGAAGGGGGTAGCGGGCAAAATTTTAATGGCACCACGTGGTTTAAAAATACAGGATTCCGAATATCTGACAAAAAGCGAAAAACAAGATTAGCGAACATCTTCAGATAAAAAAAATAATAAGTTATATGTTCTCTTTATAGAATATCACAAGTGGCATGATGCTAGAAGATATAACTGGTACAAAACGACTGACAGCTTTCGATGTATTTAAATTATCAATCCAATATTTAGTGAACCATTTGTTAGATCTTTTGAAAACACGTGGTAATCTAGTCCGCCACCACGAGGTTCAATGGGTCCTCACAGTTCCTGCAATTTGGACGGATAGAGCTAAGAAGTTTATGCGGTCTTGTGCTGAAGCAGTAAGTAAATAGAATGAAACAATTGTCCAAACATTGTTTATGATGCTTTAAACTCATAAATATATTTGTTTTTCAAGTAAAGACGGAGATTCTTCTATTTTTTATATGCTGTAGTAACTCTACTGTGTTTGTAAGGATTGGATGCAAATTTCATAAGATTTAAAAAAAAATAGACAAAAAACTTCAGCATCACTTGTAATCCCATCGCTGTAATTTTATTTCCGTATGATATTTTTTTTTCCATATATTTTGGAACAATATCATGGACATACATGTATAAATATAGATTCTACAGCTGCATCGCGAGTGATTCGATACTATATTCCTCTACTCAAGACAGGTACATTTTCCAATTTAATGGGCAAGGCTTGAAGTGCGTTTATATATCTGAAATTTGATCTGTCTGTCTGTCTGTCTGTCTGTCTGTCTGTCATTTGATCCTTATTAAAGTAAATCCCCGTTCAATTCGTGTCCTGTTGATAACTTTGGTATCGTAAAATTTAGGTTAACCAAACTTGGTTTGCAGTTTCATCATGGGTTTAGGGGATGTCGTATACAAAAGTAAGGTCCCGCATAGACCTTGATTTTCAGCTGCGATCCCTATATAATAGCAAAACATTGTCTGATACGTGTCCTGCTAATGAATTGTGTACCTTAGATCTTAGGTTGACCGAACCGTATGTGCTGATGCATCGTAGGATGGGATGAGTCATATATCAAAGTCAGGTTATACTCTAACCGTAATTTTTACAATGACAGACAAACTTCGTCTCATTTATGTTCGATGCATGACTTTTGAACCGTAGCTTTTTAGATTAACAAATCTTTGTATGCAGAATGATCATACTGACCATGACATAAGTCTTTGACCTATAAAAGTGAAACATTGTCTGATTTGTTTACGGTGCATAAATCTTGTACTGAAGCACTAAGATTGAAAAAACTTTGTATGCAGAATGTATTTGTTCCGCCATGCGGACAGCTCTAGTTATATTTTAATACTATATGATTTTGTATTAATTTTAATATTTAGAATATATATTATATACTAGTATATATTTTAATTCCATCTATTCAAGGCTGGTATACCCACAGACAATTTGATCCTTGCGCTTGAACCAGAGACCGCTTCAATCTTCTGCCAATACTTATCCACTGAGAAACTGAAGGGTTCTCAATCTGGATTCACCATGCCATCGGAGGGGACAGAGTATATGGTTGTTGATCTAGGAGGTTTAGTATTGCATACATATAAGGCCAAGTAAATTTAATTAGTAGATTTTCATCCAAATTTTTGAAAAAAATGGGGTGGGTGGGAGGATTTTATTTTTTATTTTTTATTAAATATGAAACGCTCTTGTGACGTGTTCTTCATATATGCAAGTGTAATAATAAGGTTCTATCATGTACATACATGTATAACGAATCAAACATACAAAGAAATGCAAAAACCAAAATTTGAAACAGGATGTTATTAATGAAACGAAATTATCGACAGTTACCGGTAACGAAAATGAACAAAATCCGGAAATCGTAAATTTTTCAAAATAAAAAAAATTGGGGCGGAACAATTTGAGAGGGGCGGGCGGGGATGAAAATCTATCAATTAATTTTAATTGGCCTAACAAACAATATTAAATATGATAAACATACTGGAAAGATTATCCTCTCTAGAATCTTCTTCCATCTCCGTTTTTCCTTTTACCCTTTGTAATACCCGTTTTTGAATGAACGTCCTGTCGTACACGGTGTTTATTTTCTACGTTGTGCGAAGAGTTTCAGAATACCATTTCAAACTGTATTTTCTCCTAGCTGTTATGACGTTTTATTATTGTAATTAGTTTTCAAGTTAGAATAATTCTTTTGTTTGTTTTTGAAAATTTTTGTATTTCATATTCTATAAGGTATGGTCTGCCGACAAGGGACTATATATCCACAGCGCGGTAAAAGGGTTATAGATCTTTATAGATCAAATAATGTTTTAATTTGAATGTCGAAAAATCTTGATCGAGTGACTGAAAAACACACTTTTGTGGAAATGCGGACAGCAAGTTAGTAAATTCTCGGTGTTGGAAGCAATCAGTCACGGTCGAATGTTTTTTTTTTTATATTTGAAATCTCGAATTAATGTGTCACTTGGTTTTATTAATTTCGTGTCCTCTCGTTGCTTGCTATACGGTTTTTATACGACCGCAAAAAAATTTTTGTGGTCGTATATTGGTATGACGTTGGCGTCGTCGTCGTCGTCGTCGTCGTTGTCGTCGTCGTCCGAAGACACATTGGTTTTCGCACTCTAACTTTAGTTTAAATGAATGGATCTCTATGAAATTTTACCACAAGGTTCAATACCACAAAAGAAAGGTTGGGATTGATTTTGGGGGTTATGGTACCAACAGTAAAGGAATTAGGGGCCAAAAAGGGGCCAAAAATAAGCATTTTTGTAACTTCCAGACATAACTTGTGTGTTAGTGTATGGATCTCTCTGAAATTGTACTACAAGGTTCCATATCACAAAGGGAAAGCTGGAATTGAGTTTGGGGGTAATTGCCGAAAAGTTTAGGAATTGGGGACCAAAAAGGGGCCAAAAATAAGCATTTTTCTAGTTTCCAGACAATAACTTGTGTTCAAAAGTATGGATCTCTCTGAAATTGTACTGCAAGGTACCATACCACAAAGGGAAGGCTGGGATTGATGATGGGGGTAATTGCCTCAATGTTTTAGGAATTAGGGGCCAAAAAGGGGCAAAAAACAAGCATTTTTCTAGTTTCAGGACAATAACTTGTGTGTAAGTGTATGGATCTTTCTGAAATTGTACTACAAGGTTCCATATCACAAAGGGAAAGCTGGGTTTGAGTTTGGGGGTAATTGCCCTAAACGTTTAGGAATTTGGGGCCAAAAAAACACATTTTTTCTAGTTTCCAGACAATAACTTGTGTTCAAGTGTATGCATCTCTCTAAAATTGTACTGCAAGGTACCATACAACAAAGGGAAGGCTGGGATTGAGTTCGGGGGTGATGAATCATAAGGGGGTTCAAAAAATTTTGGGGGGGGGGGTTCCTTTTTTTTCTTTTTTTTTCTTTTAAAATTTTCCATTTTAAGTTGGTTATTTCTGATTTATATTTAAAAACAAATAATAATGATATGGTAGGAGATACACACCAAACAGGATGTGTAAATTATTATATAATAAGTATTGTGCAATAGCAAGAAATTTTCAATTGCACAGTATTGCACAATAGCAAGAAATCTTCAATTGCACAGTATTGCGCAATAGCAAGAAATCTTCAATTGCACAGTATTGCGCAATAGCAAGAAATATCCAATAGCACAATATTGCGCAATAGCAAGAAATTGTCAATTGTACAGTATTGCGCAATAGCAAGAAATATTTAATTGCACAGTATTGTGCAAAAGAAGATACTTCTTATAAATTGCTTATTTCTTGACCAATTTCAATGGGGTTTTATTCTTGATTCTTGGGGTTCTTTAATATGCTGAATCTAACCGTGTATTTAGTTTTTGGATTTTGGGCCCCGTTTTTAAATTGGTCCACATTGAGGTCCAAAGGGTCCAAAATTAAACTGTGTTTGATTTCATCAAAAATTGAATTATTGGGTTCTTTGATATGCCGAATCTAACCGTGTATTTAGATTCTTAATTTTTGGTTCCGTTTTCAAATTGGTCTATATTAAGGTCCTAAGGGTCCAAAATTAAACTTAGTTTGATTTTAAAAAAAATTGAATTCTTAGGGTTCTTTGATATGCTGAATCTAAACATGTATTTAGATTTTTGATTATGGGCCCAGTTTTCAAGTTGGTCCAAATCGGGGTCCAAAATTAAACTTTGTTTGATTTCAACAAAAATTGAATATATGGGGTTCTTTGATATGCTGAATCTAACCATGTATTTAGATTTTTGATTTTTGGGCCCCGTTATCAACTTTGTCCACATTGAGGTCAAAAGGGTCCAAAATTAAACTTTGTTTGATTTCATCAAAAATTGAATTCTTGGGGTTCTTTGATATGCTGAATCTAACACTGTATTTAGATTTTGGATATTGGACCATAATAGGTGAATGTCCAATTTAAAATTTTTAAGTTCTTATACCACATTCATTCTGTGTCAGAAACCTATGCTGTGTCAAATATTTAATCACAATCCAAATGCAAAGCTGTATCAAGCTTGAATGTTGTGTCCATACTTGCCCCAACTGTTCAGGGTTCGACCTCTGCGATCGTATCAAGCTGCGCCCTGCGGAGCATTTTATTAGTTTATGGTTTGCTACTTGTTAAGGACCATAAGGTGATTAGTATTTGATCACATTAAGTTCCGCTTTTCTATGGATATTGCATGTATTGGTCTCATTGGAAACCATGGCACATATCTTAATATTTAATTTAGTATCTATAACGTAGAAAACGGAAAAAAACTATGCTCATTAGCATACGTTCCTCAGTAAGACATGTCACCCTACCAGGACAAATAAGTAGTAGAAGTAGTAGTAGAATTTGAATTGAACAGATTTAAGCTCTTACTAAAAACATTGGCATAATTGCAGGAGAGGATGCAAATGCCAATTTTGGTTTTATTCGAGCGTCAATATATTCTTCTTATGCAAGAGTAAAGCAAGTATCAGGGATTTATCTATGCGGTTCTTTTTTGATTGAAGATCATTAGAAACGTTACATGTAGGCTTTGGGCGGTTAAGATCTTGCAGGTGGTATTAAAGTAGAAAGATAGGTGACGTCACACTTTATCGTGGAGTTTCTGAAAATATGTATAGTTATGTTGCAAATTGCTCAATGATATGTCATTGCTGTTATAAGAATCTATATTGATTTTGATTGATTGATTGATTGATTGATTGGGTTTTTTTTGTGTGTTTCACAACACTTTCAGCACAATTGTCTATGTCATGGCGGCCATTTTTTATAGGTAGAGGAAGCCAGAGAACCATCGGCATTTGCAAGGTAAACTGGATATCCTAATATTAAGATTGGAGTCGATTGGGGTTCAAACTTGCAACCTCAGTGTTTATAGGCCAATAAAACAGTAGTATTGATTTTGAAATTCACTAAGTAATTTCATAAAAAAAATACAAAAAATTGTGTCTTCTCTACATTTTCTTCTTTAAATGGTGTATGTTTTTTTTTCAATTGCCTTTGATTGTATAGATGATAAATTCCAAACAGTCGTTAATTTTCTTATGTTGTGTTTCTTCAGGCGGTACTGCAGACATAACAGTTCACCGTAAATCTGCAAATGGCCAATTGAAAGAAAAACACAGAGCTATGGGAAACAATTGTGGGGGTACGTCGATTGATAAAAGGTTCTTAGAACTATTCGAAGAAATAGTCGGAGAGACAACGATGAGTTCATTAAAGAAAGAAAGCCCTCTTGCGTATTTGGATTTAGTAAGAGAGTTTGAATCCCAGAAACGAACGGTTGAAACAGGCACAAGAATTAAATTAACTATGTCAATCCCGGTCGTTGCGCTTGATGAAAAGTGTCAGAAAGTTCATAAAAAAGACTTTAAGACTCTGTTGGAATGCTCGCCACATTCAAAAGACATAAAACTAGCACATGACAAAATTCGAATTAACGTTGAGTTTTTTAAAAAGTTGTTTACTCCTTCAATTGACGGTGTTATATCTCTTATGAGGGAGATTTTTCGAAATAAGTCATTAAAGGAGGTCAAACATGTGTTAATGGTTGGGGGATTCTCAGAATGTCAACTAATGCAAAGTGCAGTTCGGAAAGCATTTCCGGATCAGAGAATTATTATTCCAGAAGAGGCCGGTCTGTCAGTGCTGAAAGGGGCCGTTTTATTTGGTCATAAGCCAGATTATATACAGTCACGCGTCATGCGATGCAGTTATGGTGTCAAAACGAATGTTGCTTGGAATGAAAAAAAATATGACAGAAAACATTATGTAGTTATGGAAGGAGAAGAAAGATGTGACAACATTTTTTCTCTTATTGTCGGGAAAGATGAGAGTGTTGAAGCAGGCATGTTAGTTAAAAAATCTTTCTTTACACCTTACAAACATCAAGATAAGATGGAAATCAACGTGTATGTATCTGAAGAGACAACACCAGGGTACGTGGACGATGATAGATGCTTCTTGCTATGTACACCGATAATTACTTTTTCTGACACTTGTGAGGAGAGGCGTTGGGTAGACGTAGAATTTGTTCTCGGAAATACGGAAATTGACCTCAAGGCTCACGATAGAAATTCTGGGGAGGCAATATCGGCAAAATTTAATCTAATTTAATTGTAACACGATAGAAATTCTGGGGAGGCAATATCGGCAAAATTTAATCTAATTTAATTGTAACGCGGGGAGATTTTTAGTTTGATTTATCAGCTGGATTGTAAACTTTTCTCATAAAATTAGGACTATCTATCTTGTATTTCAATTTGTACTCAAGAGTATATTATCTTCCTAAACACGCCTTTCCTTTTTTAGCTCACCTGATCCAAAGGGCCAAAAGAGCTTTTCTCATCACTTTGCGTCCGTTGTCCGTCGTCGTCTGTCGTCGTCGTTGTCTGTTAACTTTTACAAAAATCTTCTTCTCTGAAACTACTAGGCCAAATTTAACCAAACTTAGCCACAATCATCATTAAGGTATTTAATTTTAAAAATATGTCCGATGATCCTGCCCGCCAACCAAGATGGCCGCCATGGCTAAAAATAGAACATAGGGGTAAAATGTAGATTTTGGCTTATATCTCTGAAACAAAAGCATTTAGAGCAAACCTGACAGCGGTAAAATTGTTCATCAGGTCAAGATCTATCTGCCATGTAATTTTCAGACGAATCAGACAACCCCTTGTTTGGTTGCTGCCCCTGAATTGGTAATTTTAAGAAGATTTTGCAGTTTTTGGTTATTATCTTGAATATTATAATAGATAGAGATAAACTGTAAACAGCAAAAATGTTCAGCAAAGTAAGATCTACAAATAAGTCGAACATGACCAAAATAGTCAATTGACTCCTTAAGGCGTAATTGCCCTTTAAAGTAAATTTTTCACAATTTTTCATAAAGTTTTGTAATCTTTCACAAAAATCTTCTCTGAAACTAATAAGCCAAGTTTAACCAAACTTGGCCATAATCATTACATCTTGTTAAAAAAATGTGTCCGATGACACCGCCTGCCAACAAACATGGCCGCCATGGCTTAAAATTAAACATAGGGGTAAAATGCAAGTTTTGTCGTCTATTTTGAAAACCGTCATGGATAGAGAAAATCTGACAAGGACAGAAATGTTCAGAGCTCAACCAATTGTCCCTATATTTCAAAATTGTCAGACGATTTCTTATACGAGTTATTGCCCTTGAAAGACAAATTTTACCTTTTTTTTCATTTTTGCCTATTATCTTGAAAACTACGTCCTATGACTCCTTATTGGAGTTGTTCCCATTAATGACGATTTTTACTATTTTTCTTTGCGTTTTGCCTTATATGATAAAAATTATAATAGATAAGTATACACTTTAAATCACAAAAATGAGCAGCAAGTCAAGATCTACTAACAATTAAATTTTGCTGATATTGTTGGTAGACTGTCACTATTTATAGGAGTGATTGCCCGTAATTTTTAACTCTCTTTTGTGTTTTGAGCAAAAATTAAAGAAGATAGTGAGAAACTAAACAGACTAAATGATCAGCAATACAAAATCAACAAAACAGAGATTTTTGTCATGAATTCTATTCTCGTCTATAATGTTGGAGAGTGTCCTTTGTTGAATAGTCACATAGACCAAGGTGAGCGACACAGGCTCTTTAGAGCCTTTAGTTAACTTAGGGAGCTACCATTTGATTTTTATGGGGGGGGCTAGGATGAAAAATTTTGTCCTGCATTTTTTTTAGCTGTAATTTCTGTCCTGCCTTTTTATTTTTCACTCTATTCGGTCCTGCCTTTTTTTTTTTAGTTTATCCTGACTTTTTTTTTACCTAAATTGTCGTCCTGACTTTTTTTTTTGCAAGTGTCTCATCCTGCCTTTTTTTTTACTCAAAATTCCTGTCCTGCCTATTTTTTTCAAATTTCATCCTAGTCAATTTGTAACTTGTAACTGTGTAATTTCAAAATTCGTATATTGAAAATCTGTATTTGCAACTTTGAAATTCAAACATTTGTAACTGTGAGATTCTTTATTTGCGACTTTGTAATTCATTAAATCTAACATTCATATGCTATTTCTTATTTTGCCATTCTTCATTTGTAACCACGTCACTTAAATATTTGCCAAATACACGCTGAAATTCGTATATTGATGTTTTGTAACTTGCAACATGTCGATTCTTTAAATTCCGATTCGTTAAATGTCATCGTTGTATTATTCTAACGATCATTATGACGACAGATGGCGCTCGGTTTTTTCTTCTGTGTATAAGCCTCCTATTAGTAGGAGCACCTCCATATGGAGTATATACCCTTAGTAATTTAAATCAATTATCTACAGCACATACATATTAAAAGAAAACAAATAAATAAATAAATTTGTTGTTTTTATATGGTATATATACAGGGACTCCGTGTTATTTTGTTTTCTGAGGCTATTTAGGAGAATGGATCCCCGGAAACTATATAAAACTAGGAGATGTGGTATGATTACCAATGAGACAACTATCCACCAAAGTTCAAATAAAGTGGCTGTAAGCAATTATAGGCAAACACACGGCCTTCAACAATGAGAAAAACCCATACCGTATAGTCGGCTATAAAAGGCTACATCATTTCTGAAAACCAGGTAATAACGGTTTCAATTTATCCTAAAATGCTATTATCTGACCATCTAATTCTGACTGAGGGGGAAGGGCTGACATATATATATGGATATACATGCCTGCTTAACTTTACTGGTCAAGAAGTTATTGCCGCCACCCGATTTTTCGTCTTATAATAATTTACAAAATGTGATGCAGACAAAACGTCCCACAGGGCGTTCTCCAAATATTCTCGATTCCCGATTCCCACCCTTAACTCCGGCATCGCAACCCCCTACTCCCGGACTCCTTCCCCTCTTCACAGTTTGCCACCATTTTGCTTACCAAAATGAGCAAAAAAAAACAAACCTCCCCCCCCCCCCTCAGTCATGTGCAAAGATTTTCATGGAGAAATAAAATTGTTATGAACGAGAATTTTTTCTATGAGTTCTTCTCTCTGACCAGCCAGTCAAAAAGTATTTCTCGCTGGCAAGTAATTCATGCTTCCCCATCTTTGGCGCTCTCCTGTCCGAAAAGTTATATCTAAACTTGAAGACGTAACATCTTAACAGATTGCTGATATCTTGCTCTCTAAAATGAGCTGTCATATATGAAGATTTTCATGGCGAAATAAAATTAGGGTAAGCAGATTGGCGAGAATTGCTTCTGTCATGAAAATGGCGATCTGTCGAGATCTTCTCTATGACCAGTCAACAGGGGGGGGGGGGGGGGGGGGGTCACTTTGGTTAAAAGTGGGTTAAGGTGTATATTAAAAAAGAAACAGTTTCATAGTTTTACGATCACGGTCATTGACAAAATATTCAGAGGGGATACCAGGACATCACACCATTATACTACTAGAATATGACATGTCTCGACGATCCAGTATTCAAATTTAAGTTTTCTGGTTGGTCAGATTCCTTTAGATTTTATATATATATAAAAATATTAAATATTCAATACAGTTTTAATATATAGTATACATTAACTAAGTGACTCATTTAGAATAATACTTCTTTGTTCATTCAATTTGTTTTGCAAAGTATAAAAATGATATAAAACATGTTTATCTTCATTATTCAAGGACAAAAAAATAAAGATTTTTCATTTATTTGCTTCTTGTATTAAAAAATCAGTAGATAGTTGAATTCTTTTTTCAAAATTTTAACATTGAGATTATAATATTAAGGAATAATGGGTGCCAACCCATTTCTCCCATCATATATTTAGTCGAAAATTTCCGGCCCAGAACAATATTAGTCTGAATTTTCCGGCTCAGTCTTATATTTCATGTATTTAGTCTGAAATAGTTGACCCGGTCATATATTAAGTCTGAAATTTCCGACCAAGTGACAGTTATATGTTTGCCAAGTTGAAAAAGGGACCAATTCCAGCGACACCGGTATACCTTAATAAAGGAAGTGACACACCCCCTCCCAGGTGTGGTGACCAGTACAGTAGATATACATGTATATTCGGTCACCTCTATATAAAACCGAGTCCCTGTATTTATGCCATATAAAAACAAAAATTTTATTTCTCTATTTGTTTTCTTTTATATGTGTGTGCTGTACATAATTAATTTAAATTAGTAAGGGTATATACTCCATATGGAGGTGCTCCTACTTACAAAAGGCTTATACACAGAAAAAGAAAACCGAGCGTCATCTGTCGTCATAATGATCGTTAGAATAATACAACGATGACATTTAACGAATCGGCATCTAACGAATCGACATGTTTCAAGTTACAAAACATCAATTTACGAATTTCAGCGGGTCTATGGCAAATATTTAAGCGAAGTGGTTACAAATAAAGAATGGCAAAACAAGAAAAAATACACGAATGTTAGATTTAATCAATTACAAAGTCGCAAATAAAGAATCTCAAAGTTACAAATGTTGAATTTCAAAGTTACAAATGTTGAATTTCAAAGTTACGAATGTTGAATTTCAAAGTTGCAAATACAGATATACGAATTTTGAAATTACACAGCTACAAGTTACAAATTGACAATTTACGAATAAAGAATTTTGAAATTACACATAAGAATTTTGAAATTACACAGCTACAAGTTACAAATTGACAATTTACGAATTAAGAATTTTGTAATTACACAGTAACAAGTTACAAATTGATAATTTACGAATTCAAGAACTTTGACCCCGTTGGCTCTCCATATTATTTAGGTTGTTAACTTTCTCATGATATTAGATATCTCACTATAGTATATTAAATGACATTCACGGTAACGCGATAGTAGTAAATAAATTCAGTTAAAACCTTCCGTCACGTATTACCTGTGGTTTTGGATGAAGCTTTAATAATATAAACGGTACCAATTTTAATGCACCAGATGCGCATTTTAACAATTAGTGTATCGGTGTTCGAGGCCAAAACATTTGAATATCCAAAATCAAATACATATGATGAAGAGCGGATCAAACCAAAAAGGACCTAAAGTATAGCCTAGGAACAAGGAATCAGAGCTTTGCGTGAGGGAGATATGTTCCTTAATTTAAAATTATTTCCCAAATTTATAAAATCAAATTTTAACCAAACAATATCTGTATTTTCATGCTAGTACCGAAATAACTATATGATACATGTAGCGGTGTTCTTTTGAATACTTCTTTGTTTATGTTTTTATTGTCTAGTAAATGCATTACAGTTTACCAACCATATCGTTATGTAACGTCAGCCAATCGTCCTGCTTTGTTTGTATATATTAATACGAATGAAATATTACAATTATCTTCTAAAATGATGCACTAATAGACAAGTTGGTGATGATTATCACGTTATCTTTTAATGCAAGTTTAAGCTCAGAAACGTAAACAACATATCAGTACGTACCTTACTCGCCGACCTAATGCAATTCAGTTCCAATACTTTATGTCCAGTAAACACTGGATTTTGTGAGAAACTTTGCATATATATTAGATATGTTGATAGTTGTCTCTGTCATGTTTGTAATTCCTATATTTTTTACTTTGTCCGTATTTGTTTTCTACCTACCATTGTTTGTTTGTTATACACATGTATCTTGTAAATTGTTTTTATTGTATCTCTGTCCTAATGTAATGTATACATTAGCTGTTTGATAAATGGTCAGTAAATTGTGCAGATGAGCAACGAATATGAAGTTTGTTTAATTTATTTGCAATAATTGCACGAGACTCGTGACAATTTAGCGCTTATCATTATGTATAGAAACCTATTTACTGTTGAGGAATGTTTGTTCACATCTGGATATTTTTGGTTATTTGTGTTCTCTAACATTACCGAATAGGTAGATGCCAACGAGGCAATTATCAATACATGCTAAAAGGACAAAAGTGAGAAAACAACCCCAGGTCTTAAACAATTAGTACAGCTTATACTGTATAAAAAGTTTTAAAATTCGCTGGTATGACAGAATGTGAAACAACTTAAAAGAGAAAACCAACAGCCAGATATTTGATCCGATTGTACTTAAGCTTCTTAATGACATCATCGAATGCGTCCGATCACCAGGTTTAACTTGTCATGACAACACGACATGTGTCATTTTAAAGCAGGAACGGGTTTCCTTCATGACCATCCGAGATCAACTCAAGTTTCATTCATTTGACAAGTATACTGTACACCAACATTTATCTAAAATTAAACCATATATATCTTTATTACGCAAACATTTCAATCTTAGTCACAGCAACATAAACAAGATATCAAGCTGTTGCACCGACAAGCGTCTTCAATATAATAGTACGAAAACTACTGTGACAAATCACGTTCACAGAGATTTCACATTTGCCTTAAACATTACAATATGTATTTCGGGATTGTGAAAACGAAAATAACATTTTATAAATTTGGTTCATTAGAAACACTTTTCTGGATGTACTTTGTCGAGAACACTCACACACCCCAAAAATGTATACGATGACGATGTAAATATACAAGGCAATTCGTTTCCCTGACTGTTTATGAAGTCTTTGTACTAAATTCGTTGGATGTGTACTGGTTGATACTTTAGTCTTTGAGAACATTATTTATTCATTAGTTGTAATTGGCATTAAACTAGCTTTCAGTAACTGCGAGTACTCTCATATAGGTACGTTGTGTCTATTGCTTTCATGTTACATTGTAGTTGTTTTTGTGCGTCGTACCGATCTTTTGAGTTAAGCCAGTTGCAACTGATTTTTTACAATGTGTTCTAACTTATATTGTGTTGTTACACCACTGCCCTTATTGGGAAGGTTGGGCGTTCACAAACAGGTTTAATCCCGCCACATTCTGCAAGTGCCTGTCCCAAAACATGAGCCTGTATTTCGGTGGTTTTTGTTGGTTCATGTCTGTCATATTTGTTTTTCGTAAATTGTTTTGTTATAAACTATGCCATTGGTTTTTTTGTTTGAATTGTTTCTCATTTTTCATGTCGTGGCCTTTTATAGCCGACTATACGGTTAGGGGTTTTTATCATTGTTTTAGGCCGTAAGATGACCTATAGTTCTTTATATCAACGTATTTGAACTTTGGTGGATAGTTGTCTCATTGCCAATCATACCGCATCTCCTTATTTTTATATTGAACACTGAAGAAGCTATAAGAACAAGAGGGACCAAAAGTGTATAGAAAATTCATTGTTAAGGCCAAATTTGCCTGAAGGAGTTGGTACTTACATTACTTGATAATAAACATTCTTGAATTATATTAAAACACAGATAAACTATTGTACAAATGAGAAAAAAAAACTTGTCAGGCAAATTGAAAAGCAATATTCCTTCATAAAGAAAAGTACAAACATCCGACTGAAGCAAAACATGTCTAAACTATTTGGGTTAAGTATATTTCACGGTTATTAATTACACTATAGGGATCGAGACTATAAAACACAACATACATAGATATATACTTTATCGTAACATAAGCGCGGCTCATACGTATTAGGCTCTGAGACTTATGGATGTGATATCTTGTTGCTTTAAATAGAAAGAAAATGAATCAATTATAAATTTTTTGTTTAATTTCATTAACACTTGAATCGAAACTACTCTGATAGGCATGCAGTTTCATACTTTTTGTCCTTCAACTCTCTGTTTTTTTAACAATATATTTATCATACGACATGAACAAAAATGGTTTGAGAATTGGCAAGCACTTTTTACTGCAACAGAATGAAAATTCGAAAAATTTGAATTAAAATACATACATTTCAGTCTTTAGTTTTCCATGTTGTATTTTGTGTACTATTGTTTGTCTGTTTGTCTGTTGGTCTTTTTCTTTTTTAGCCATGGCGTTGTCAGTTTATTTTCGACTCGTGAGTTTGAATGTCCTTTTGGTATCTTTCGCCTCTGTCTTTCATTACGTTGCTCGGTGTTTTTCGTAACAAGTCCACAAATTTTATTAAACAGAGCATGCAACTACGTGGGTATACCCCATAAGGAAAACTAAAAAAATGGGTGGATTGTTACAACAGCATAACGAAGTTAATTATATTAACAATTTTTAATTGGCCCTAAAAACCAACAATTGTGAACAATTGTCATCAATCGATCATTAGTTGGTCATGTCGTTAATAAACTTTTGATAATTTATAGTTAGCTCATCTGAACAACAAACCAAACCAAGCAGATGAAATGTATTAAAGACCGTTCATTTTTATTGTCTTGAAGAGAAATATATGTATTATACCATACATAAAAAAATAATATCGATCAAGCATAGACATGTTAGAAAACTTTTGTTCTAACTTTTTTTGTATAATCATGTTAGTTTAACATTTATTAGAGAATCACTGTAGCCGCTGTCGCGATTTTAATGGTCGCTATGTTACGAAGCATAATGCGGTCAGTAGACAGGTAGATCAGTCAAACATATATATATATATCATAAAGGTGATTTAAAGTATCTGACAATTGTATGTCAATAAATTCTTTAAATAGACGAACTGCGAAGTTAAAAACAGGAAGTTTTATACTTTTGAAGGGTGAGTAAAATTATTTTTGTTTTTAAGCAATGACTATATAATTATTCCTAGTTTAATACACTCAGAATGAGTGTGGTGATTTTTACATTAATATATACTATCGGTTACCATTTCAGTCACTGTTAGGTTATTTTAAAAAGCTTCATTTCAAAAGAAATTTGTTGTTTCCTCATAGCCCAACTCAATTACTGTACACAAATCTTTACAGCCTACCATGTGAAGCAACACAGTAGACCATTACACATTTGGGACGTTTTAAACAGCAGAAAGAGATGATAAGTTCATTATTTTCTTGTTATGCAAAGGTCAGTTGATATTTTTTAGCCGTAAACTACATCAGAATTGCCGCCCTGCATCAGCTTGAATTAAAATTACCTTAGTAACATCAACATTACAAAAATAAGATGTTCAATAATTAGCACAAGAGATAACTTTCCACCTGAGACCGAAATGAAGTATGAGGCAGCAACTATAGGTCGTCGTATCATGGCCTTTAAAAATAAACAAACCCCTTACCGCATAGCAAGATATAAAAGGCCCAGACCTGACAATGTAAAACAATTCAAACGAGAAAAATATTAAACGGCCTGATAAATGTACAATGACTGAGTTGTATCGTGCAAGTAATTTTAACATCCGCCATGCAGCCACTTCCAGTTTGCCGATTGTTCGTTGTACAACACTCATTGTACAAGGAAACTGTTCGTCAATACATGTTAAGGTTCTATGTAAGGGAATGATTTGATATTAGGTCTGCATCTTTATAATGTTGAGTCGTAGCTTGTAAACAACCTTTACCATGTAGCAACTTCCTGTTTACCGATAGTTTTACGAATTTTAAACCACTCATTGTACAAGGAAAATTTTCGTCGAACGTTTCGTGACTTCAATGATTTTAGGGAATATTCAGTTATGCTGCAGTATACACTTGACTTCAATCAATGGCATGCCACGACGCTGGCCCATACTCGGTATTGGTCTTGTTCGATTTTTATTTGAACTTCACATGTCATTTCTTTTCATAATTTTCAGGAACAAAATCATGTCGGCTTCGATAAAGACCACCTTGATGATATGTTTACTGTAACGCGACTAAAAAAAATTGTCTTGTAGCGAGAGATAGCAGAAAGGAAGGTATGGAGACATCTTAAAGTACCTTACGCGTACTTCAGATATTAACAGAAATTTTGTGACGAACATATATACAAGAGTTAAATATAATGCAGCGGATGCCTTTACAGATGTTAAAAGTTCATATTGGATTTTACATATATATATTTTTAAAGAGGTAGAGCGAATTTCTTCTGAATTTATATCGAACAATGTCTAATTTCAAAAACGTTTTTTTTAATCTTTTCTTTAAATTGCAGTTTTATATCTCCTTGTGTGTAAACCTTAGGTGGTAACAATATTGTGGCTTATTTTGCAAGAGATGACCAAATTACAAACGCCTAGAGATAGTTTAAAAACGCCATTTTGACAGATTTTGGCAATTTTTTAGTATTTATCCCAAGCATGAAGGACATGTTTACCTAAGCCAAAATCTTCTAAAAGTATAGCTCGGATACACATTAATTCAATTTGGTAAAAGACGTCCTTCGATACGAAAGCCGATAAAATATGTAATTTTGCATCAAAATGCATTAAACGGCACCTTTCATCACTGAATATCAATTTATTTTATGGAGACATCAAAGAATTAAATGAGAGTGAAACAAACACTTGGGAAATTACCTCTTCCTGTTTCTTATAATGCATTAGTAGTCATATGAAAAAATGTGTTATTGCTCGTTTTCTAATGTGCTTCCCTTCTTAGAAGTCACACAATAGTTAGCTTCACCCCTCCAAATGTTTTATATCCGTATATTATGAAATGTCTAAATGATCATCAACAGTATCTTAATCCTACAATAAAAGACGCAAATGGCCCGTTTTCTTGTTATTGAATTATAAGTTGAAATTATTTAGGTGTTATTTGATATATTTTGTTAATTTGTTTATCGTGGTTGCAGTTTAATTATCTTTTGAATTAAATTATTACTTTTTAAGGACAAAAAAGGAGGGAACGAGGTATTGCATGGATTTAAACATATGAGACCTTTTATAAAGAGTGTAATAGTTTACCCACATCTTTTTTATCTATTTTTGACTTATTAGACATACTACGGCCACTAAGACCTCGCTTAGTTCGTGGTTTATAAAGATTAGAATAAAAGTGTGTTCACATTCTAAAATTTGTGTACTAGCTAAAGCGACCTGCATTTATCAGAGTCAATAGAACAATAATAGCAGGGTCTTGAATACATGTGTACTTTTAGTTTTAGGGCTTGACGATGGAGGATTTGAGGAAACATCTTATGGTTGCTGCTTTAGACTTTGGCACTACATACTCCGGTTATTCGTTTTCAATTAGGGGTGACTGGGAAGATAACCCGTTGAAAATCAGTAACCCAATATGGATGGCAGGAAGTCGACAGTTTGTGTCAGAGAAAACACCAACATGTTTATTATTGGATAGTAATCGAGAGTTTGTAGCCTTTGGATACGACGCAGAAAATATGTGGATAGATCTATTGTTGGATAAAGAACATGAGGAATACTATTATTTCGAGCGTTTCAAAATGAATCTACACAATAACAAGGTATTCTTCGCTGTGTTGAAGACCCATTGGTAACCTTTGGCTGTTTTCTGCTCTTTAGTCGGGTTGTTGTCTTTTTGACACATTCCCCATTTCCATTCTTAATTGTATTCGTTTATCATATGATAAAAGGAAAATCGCCCATTTCTGAAGAACAAAAGAATTATTTTAGTAAAAGTTGAAAATTACGTATTCGGTCATTGAAAACATTACACTTTAACAATGACACGACGATTCAGCAAAAGACAATCTGAAAATTTTATATGTTTCAAACGTATCATAATGAAAGGCAACTTTAAAAGCAACCTTAACTGAAAATTCCCAAAATGATTTTTTTTTCGGCATGGAGACCGTTTTGGCTATTCTGTATGTATTTACGCTTTGATCCGTCTTTGAAAGTTAAAGCGAGGACATGTGTCTGTGGAATATAGGTTCAAAGGTGGCATGTTTTACGGTTTAAATTCTTGCTTCAACTCTTAACCTTTCGTTTCTTTTAAGAGCAGAACGACAACACAGATTGTTTTGCTTTGTAATATATTTTGGCGTTCATGATCATCATATTTTATCCATGCGTACTGTCAAGAAAAAATTTAACTTAAAAAAAAAACATTTTGGAAACAAATAGATACTTAACAAACAAATTTTTCTTTTTGCTATGTGTCGTTGACTTACCGTGACATTGAAGATTACATGTTCTTTCATTTAAAACAAAGAAACAGTCAATGTTTAAAAGATTTAATTTTTTTTTATATTTATGAAATAGAATATCACAAGTGGTATGATGTTAGAAGATATAACTGGGACAAAACGGCTGCCAGCTTTCCATGTGTTTAAATTATCAATCCAATATTTAGTAAACCATTTGTTAGATCTTTTGAACAAACGAGGAAATTTAGTCAAATACGACGAGGTGCAATATGTGCTGACAGTTCCTGCAATATGGACAGATAGAGCCAAACGATTTATGAGGTCGTGTGCTGAAGCGGTAGGTAAATAAGAAGCAATGGTATTTTAGCAATAATCAATCTTTATGATTTAGAATATGCAGCTGCCGTTCAAATCAGTACACGGTTACAACTGTCAAGTGACAAGATAATAGAAATTATGACAAATGCAAAACTACTGCCAGGCTGTCGAGTGCATAAAGTTAAACGATCGATAACTAACATATGCAGTGAACCACTTGTTAGATCTGTTGAAAATTAAATGAAACCTATACCGTAAAGTAAGCTATAATAAAAGACCTCGTAATGAAAAGCATGTGAAACAATTCAAACGGGTTGGTTTTTATTACAGTTATAAACGAAAAACAAGTATGTCAGAAACCAAGGTTGGTGTTTAACAGGTTTGTTAGCACTCATTTCTTTCCCAATCAAGTGATGATCATGTGTGGACACAGTAGGTAAATTAGAGACAATTATTGTTTAGCAATGTTCAAAACAATAAAATCTATTTAAGATATACAAACTAGGACAAACACACTGAAGAAATATGTGACCGCCTCTAGTACGCTATAAAGGTCCCGATTTGATATGATTTTAAATAATTCAAACAAGAAAACAAACGGCCAAAAACAAATATGGCAAACAATTACAACTATTTAATACCGGATACCGACTTACGACAGCCACATAAGGAATATGACGGGGTTAACCATGATTGTAAGCGCTCAACACTCCCCTAGTCTGGGAAATTGACGTAAAAGTACTATAAATACAGGACTACATATCATGTTGTGCAGGAGACCTTCAAACTATTTAGACTGACTGTTGTAATTGATTGTTCTTCCTTTCGCATTCACCCTTACCGTGTCTTAAATTAATTACGTATGGTCTCCTTATTGCCAATGGAATATGATACTGAAATATTTGCTCATATTTTAAAATTATTATTTTTTTTTAATCTTTCGTTATTCAAGGCTGGTATTCCCACAAACAACTTGATACTTGCACTTGAACCAGAGGCAGCATCCATATTCTGTCAATTTTTATCCACTGAAAAATTTAAAGGATCTGAACCAGGATTCACAATGACAGCCAAAGGGACAAAGTTCATGGTGGTTGATCTTGGAGGTAAGGTATTGCACACACATTACAAGCAATATGCGAATAATGAAACACACTGATTTTAACTATTTGGAATTAAAGTCTTTTATCTCCTGTCAACACATTTAAAGGTCATAAACTAAAGCCAATATCACTCTCTTACAAACTTAAATATTGTAAAGTGCGGAATTCTCAAATTATCTCCTAATTGATATCATAGAAGAAAGAATTGATGTTGGTAGTCGTTGCAATGTATAAACATGCATGAGTGTCTTTGAAGTTAATTTAATTATAATAGTTTGGTGATGTAAAGAATTTTTTATATTTTGGGGACTCTCAACAATATGTGTTTCATATATTACACGAAACAAAAGTGCAAAGAAATGGTATGAATTGCATTAGGTTCCTACTTATGAGTATGAATGAAAAGCACGTAATCTTTTAGTTACGAATTATCTTATTTTTCTAATTATTCAAAATAAAAATTAATAAAGTTTCAATATGAGTTACAACTATAGCCAGTGTCCCCTATCTTTATGAAACATTACATCGTTATGCTATGTAATGTTACTATATTAAATTGAAATATAGAATTAAAAGAAATAAGCTTTTTTACTTTCTTTTGTCATTGTATTGTATAATTTTGAATGTTTAATCGTATCAACCTGATGTTCAGTATTTTGAGTTTTGGGTATGAAACAGTAGCTAAATATTTATGTTAATTTCGTTTTACATTGTTAAATACTGTTATATATAATTTTGTTTATTTTTTAGAGTTACTGTTATTGACTTAAACTTCAATCTATTATGATATTTTTGTTTTGTTTTATAATTCAATTTTGATTGATTTCAGAAATCCTATCGAGTTGACACTTTTCTAAATGTAATTCAAATTCATTTTTAAAATTTGTTTATGCTGACCCCGTTTTGTTCGAAATGTGGAAAGGAAGTGAATATCTGGAACATTCTGCTCTGTAGATTAAACGGATAGCATATGCCGTTGAAACATCTCTGTGTGAAAACATTCTAAATAACAAGAATATGTAAACAGTTGCCCACAGTAGATTTGAAAACTTCAAAATCCAAATGATCAAAAACAATCACATTACACCGAAAACGCGAAGGCACATTTCATAGAGGACAACGTTGACAATAGCGAACTTTATATTTGTAGTCTTTAAATTCAGGGATACTACTCAAAAGGCAAATGCATAGATTTCATAAACTATATTTGAAAGAAACATCTTTTAAAAAATAGTATATTTACGTCTGACAAATAAAGGAAACGTCAAAGTTGATACATAAGAATAAATGATGAATAACTTAAAGTTTCACGTTTTGAGTTGTAGTGGTTAGCAAAAATAGTTACATTAACCTTGCATGTAGGATTCTTTATTCATCTAATAATCACTGCGATTACTGCTATACAGATTTTTTTTACCTACAAAAAGACTATCCAAACAGAAATATAGTAGAAGTATTCCATCTGACCGGTCATGCTTGCATACTAATATAATGATCTGAACATATGATATAGACGCTGATGCAAAATGTGAAGCAGGATCTGCTTATCCGTCCGGAGCACCTGCGATCACCCCTGGATTTTGATAGGATTTGTATTGCTCAATCTTCAGTTTTCTATGGAATGTTATATATACTGTGTTTATCTTTTTGTTACTTTCGTGTTTGTTTTGTTGCTTTTTTAGTTTTAGATATAAGAATTTCAACAATCAGTCATTTTATAATAAGATGTAAACAGATTGACTTTTGTCCGTATTGTCGTTTTTCGTTTTGAATTCATTTACCATTATGTTAATATTTTGTGTTTGTTCAGGCGGCACTGCAGACATAACTGTTCACGAGAAAGCTGCAAATGGTCACTTGAAAGAAAAACACAGAGCTATCGGAAATGATTGTGGGGGAACATCGATTGATAAAAGGTTTTTAAAGCTATTCGAAGAAATTGTCGGAAAGACCACAATGGATTCATTAAAAAAGGAAAGCCCTCTGGCATATATTGATCTAGTAAGAGAGTTTGAATCCGTGAAAAGAACGATTAAAACAGAAACAAAAACTAAAGTAACTATGGCCATCCCGGTCGTTGCGCTTGAGACAGCGTGTCAGAAAGTTCACAACAAGAATTTACAGTCTCTGTTTGCCGCCTCGTCATATTCAACAGAAATAAAAGTAGCACAAGATAAAATTCGAATTAATGTTGAGGTTTTCAATAAGATGTTTTTGCCTTCAGTTGATAGTGTTATATCACTTATGAGAGAGATTTTTCGAAATAAGTCACTGAAGGACGTGACGCATTTGCTAATGGTAGGAGGTTTCTCAGATTGTCAACTAATGCAAGACGCAGTTCGCAAAGCATTCCCAGAGAAGAGAATAATAATTCCAGAAGAAGCTGGGTTATCAGTGCTGAAAGGGGCCGTTTTATTTGGCCATGATCCAGAGTATATACAATCACGCATCATGCGATGCAGTTATGGCGTCAAAACGAATGTTCCTTGGCATGAACAAAAATATGACAGAAAACACTATGCAGTTATGGAAGGGGAAGAAAGATGTGACAACATATTTTCTCTTATTGTCGCGAAAGACGAGAGCGTTGAAGCAGGCATGCTAGTTAAAAAATCTTTCTTTACACCTTACAAACACCAAAATAAGATGGACATTATGGTGTACGTTTCTGAAGAGACAACACCAGGGTACGTCGATGATGATAGGTGTTCATTGCTATGTGAACCGACAATCACCTTTTCAGACACTTGTGAGGACAGGCGTTGGGTAGACGTAGAATTTATTCTTGGAAATACAGAAATTGGTCTTAATGCTCACGATAGAAAATCTGGGAAGGCGATATCAGCAAAGATTAATCTTTTTTAATCATAGCGAATAGCAAAGAAAAATAAATTGGTTAGAAAGAAGACTTTGATTTTGAGTTACCAGCCAGGATGTAGACTTTTCTCGTACAATTAGGATTACATCGTAGGTCTTCCCTTGTATTCTAATTAGTACTAAAGAATGCGTTATAATTACAAATAAAAATTCGGTTTCATATATTGCCACAATATTTTACATATTTCGAAAAAATCTATTTTCGTATATTATATAATCATCGCATTATATTGCCTTATTACTTATACTTTTTGCAAATCACTATCTGGTAGGCGAGTTTTTAGACTCCTTTCCTGTTTATTCTAAAGCTTGAGTTAAAGTTTCCCTTTATCGCTTTATGGTACAAATTTGTTCATTCATTTTTGCATTTGAACAAAGAAAACTTCCGATGATATTATCTACTAATACATTGAAACATTAAAGTATATTTGCTGAAGTATAATGTATATGTGTTTAGTCATTATTTTGGTTTTGTGTTTTGTTGAAGGCCGTTTTTTGACCTATAGTTGTTACCTACTATGTCATCCGATCTCGTGTGGAAATTTGTCTCATTGGTAATGATACCACATCTTCTTATTTTCATAATGAGTCATTATGTTAATAAAAGTATACTTTTGTGTTCGTTTCAATTTTCGTAAGATAACGAAATCCTAGATTCAAGTTGTTAACTGTTTCTCATGACAGTGTAGTATGATAATAGAAATTTCATCATACTATAGTCACGAAACGTTGGAAAAACCTGCATTACCATGAAAACCGACCGGCAAGATTAACCTTATGAAAGAACAAATACGTGAGGTATATTGTGTCCCTCAATGAGAAAATCACCGAAACGACGGGATATCAAAAACCTTAAGTCAACTATATCCTTTGTTTTTCTATTAAGGTTTTGTGAAAGTGTTTGCCTTTTCTGTGTTTCTAGAGACTCTTCCATTCGAATACATGTTTTGTAAATAATGGTATTTAAATGTTCGTTTAAGATATTTCTATGAATAAATGTATTGTATTAAAGGTAATAAAAAGGGTATTTTTCTGCGTTATGGTTTCCAAAAATGATCAAATTTAGTACTCATTCAAATTACATACAAAACTAATTAAAGGTAGCATTTTATGCAAAATGGAATTTACAATACTAATTAAAGGTAGTAATTATTCAAAGATTTAGTGGTATTCAAAACCTCAAAATAGGCACTTTTTCGGCAAAATGGTTTCAAAAAAGTAATTTACGGTAGTATTTATGCTTATTTTTTTAAAACTTATTAAATGTATTGGTATTATAACAAATTCAGCAGATATATTTACTTTGTGAAACGTCCATTTACAAAACAAGCATGTAATCAAACATAATCGGTATTGCATGAATTTACAATCGCAAAACAAGATGCAATAACATGGTTTTCTAATGCATCTCCTGATAGAAATGAGTCACCCATCACATGACTTTAAGTCACATCCAGTAGTAAATTTTCAACCTATTGGTACTGCTCAAGTTATTGCGTGATCTATTTTCAAAAATATGGTCTCTAGATAGGCAACGGATTGAAGTCTGTGCGCACATAAAACTGCATGGTGTAACCCCAAAAACTACAAAGGTACCCAGAATATCTATATATGTACTTTAGGAAATCGTTCAGGTTTGAGTCAGCACGAAATTAAATTCTATGTCAAACGAGGTTCGAAACTTTACCGCACATAACGAGTGCAAAGATTATATCAATGTATGGTATGGGAGACAAAAATTCAGTTCTAATACACACAGTTTTCCACCTTAGCTGCATCAAATCTGATTTGTGTCTTGCTTCTTGCTAATAATTTGTTGTGGTTCTTGTTTATGAATAAAAAGAGGTGCGGTATGCCAGAAAGACAGCAACAAAACGACATATTAAAACTAGAAATCAACATACTATCTTCTGATTATGGTTTTAGTCTTTGTATATTTTTGTATTAAATATCGGTGCTTTGGTTCGCTTTTACATCTCCTTTGTCTTTTCCATGCACTGATCTTTCAAACTCAATTTAACATTCAGGGGCAAGACAAACAAAGACTTACATTTCTAATAAAGTCCTAAATTAATTTTTTGTACATGTATTTAATACTTTCGTTTTTGTCTATTTGCTTTCATTCATATCATTTTGTTTAACTGCAACATATACATATCAATGATTGTAATCTACATATATAACAAACGTAAAACCAAACGACATCAATGACATACTTTGAAAGAATAATTGCCATATTATGTGGAGGTTTAGGGATGTTCACTGCTCTGTTTTAAAATACCAAGATTTTTAAAAGAGTGTTAAAGATTGATAGTATATAGATAACGAAACTAAAAAGGCAGAAAAAGATGAAAGGTCTTTTTTTTTAGATATAAGCTATTGAATATTTGACGGAAAATGTTTCGCTCTAGATTTTTATTTTATTTATCATGTATCACCCATTTTGATTAAAAAGTAGGAAAAAATAACAAGTATTTTATAAAATTTTAATAATAAAAGATGTTTTAACTATATGTGATTAAAATAATGAAAAGAAAAATAGGGGTTTGTGGGCAAAATGTTTATTAGCACTGCATAACTAAAACCAGAGGATTCCGAATGTCTGACAATAAAGTCTAAACAAGATCAGCAAACGTCTTTCATTTCTAAACAAATTACTCAATAAAAAAAGATGTTGACTCAATTGTACATCATCGGAAATACCGACGAAAACAAAACACCTCAATATTTCCAAAGCGTTTACTACGTACAACTTTTCAAGATTACATCGTACATTTTATAAAACTTTCATACTCATGTAGAATAAACCACAAGAAGTTCTTGGTAGTTCATTCTCTGAACTCCCCAAGCTATATAGGTTTCTTAAGAACATTTATGGGATTACAAAAATGTAGCAATGTTCCCAAAGTCATGCGAATCGAATTATAAAATAAGGTGTTTAATGTCATTAGATACTGTAACCTCATATTTCGATGCTTTAGATCTTAAAAAAGAGAGAGTGAGGGAGCATCGGGCACGGGGAGGGATTGCATTATTCAATTTATACATACTGTATAACAAATTATTGTTGTCCTAGCCCGCTTCACCGCTTTACAAATAGGTATGTAGATTAAATTTTTACTAACGACAGAATATGAACAATCAAAATCCGATCCATCTTGGATAGGAATAGTCAGTACAGTCATTGCTTAATTCTTTTCTAATTTCCGTGCCTTATTCTGTTGGTCATGTATTATACATCACTTCCCCTCCAGTAAACAATCCAATCCACTAGCTGAAGCTACCAACTGTTTTTATTGTGTGATCACACATCGATAAGGTTGCGGCTATCACCTCCCTTTTCGGATTCACAATATACTCAACCTTGTTTGCTTCAAGTGGCATGTTAGCTTTAGCCCAAGGAATGTCTTGCAAAGTAAATACACATAGAACAGTTCTATATTTTGATAGAAAATATTTCACCGATTTGGATAAATAGTCTGGTGTTGCTACATTAAAACCTACTTTTGTGAAATAGCTATCCTTGGTACGGTCTCCTAGTCTTATATGTTCAGCGTTCAGCTTTAATTTCAATATGACACCGAAAAGTAAGCTGTTTCCTCGGTTCTTTTCTAAATTCAAAAAAGCAAATGTTAAACCTAAAAAGACTATCGGCGTGAGCAGAATACGGGTGTTCCTGTTGGTAATTGAAGGCCCGACATATGTTCACATCTGATCGTACATCAACGTCAATGTTAAACACACGATTTATTTCTGTATTTTCAGAAACTATTAATCGCATATCCTTTGATCTCGAAACACCAAAAGGTGATGCAAAGTAAATAAGTTATTTCCAAACCTTCCTCTAAAAACAGGACACAAAAAAGAAACATTACTGTTATATTTATTTTCTTCATAACTGAAACCACTGTTAGTTTTAATTGTTGCAGTATTAATGTATATTTACCCGGTATCTCTCTGGAGTTTCCCGTAATACTTTTCCAGTATGGAATTTCCGAATGTTGCATTATTGGATTTAAAGATAACAGTGAAATATAGATATAATACTAAACCTGATACTATTTATAACACTGAAATAGAAAGTAACGAGAAATAGAAACAAAGAAGACTTCATTTCATATCATTGCTATCTCCAAAAGGTATTTACTACATATAAAAATAAGAAGATGGGATATGATTGCCAATGAGACAACTCTCCACAAGAGACCAAATGACACAGAAATTTACATGGTCATAACCAAAGAAAACTCTCTCAATCTTTTAAAAGATCACAGTATTATAGCTTCCATATTGATAATTGCAAGTCTAATCATCCTGAGTGCACCTGTGTAACTTCCTCGTTCATATATAAACCGGTATCCACATTGTAATTGCTGACCTCTATATGGTCAACACTTCTTTGCAAAATATGTTAACCAAAGGACCAAAATACCGCAAACCTAAATCTTGCCGACTTGTTCCCGTATTCGAATAAGATTTATCTTGTATAGGACCTTCTCGGGAAGATTAATAAGTAGTTACTAGTAATATTATGTTTAAGTCTACTTTTCATTATATACATTATGCCATCAATCTAACCAATTTCGTCCTGAACTTTCATGAAACATTTGCCAAAGGACGTTAAAAAACCGACAATCAATCAATCTAAATCATTCAAAATGTGATTACTACGTATATAACACCATTACGGAAAAATCTACGTTCATTGAAATACGGCAGTTAACTGTCATTACGTGCATCTTAAACATGAACTCAACTGAACAAATTGCATAGATCGACCTTTAAAAAGCTTGGTTGACCTGAAGATGTATTTTGTCTGTTTGTTCAGTTTGTGGGATGTCTTATAAATGTTTACCAACATCATCTTTCTTAAATATATGTATTATGGATATGGCGTTTTAAAATATTGTAAATTAGTTGTTAAATCTTTATCGAATTTTATTTGGTCACGTTCATTTGAATATGAAATTCGTTTCAACAACGGAACAAGATTATAACAAGAGGGGAAGACATACATTGTCTCTTTGACACTTTCCCCATTTCCATTCTCAATTTTATTAAAGATAAAAAAGCGACAGAATAGAAAAAGACAATCAAATGTCGAAAATAAGCAGATAACACAATGATCAAAAAGAAAAACGACGATCAAGAAGAACAAACAGGAGTCTACAAAACACTTTAGAAAACCCCAAACATAATATTATAAGCCAAAGACGGATGTGTAGATCTTACTCTACTAGTTACTAATTACACTCGTCGTATTGCTAATGGCAAGAACCATAGACAGTTTGCATTATTTCTAATATCAGCATGACAAGTATCAAAATAGCTCAATTTACGACAATATTGTAAACAGCCTTTATTTTTAGATTTAAGCTATCTAAAGCGCGTTCAACGGTAGTAAGAGTTATAAACGTACACATATACTTACATTCCCGTAGAAACAAATTTGATATAACCTGCAGAACTACGTTCTTAGATCTCTTGTTGATCGATGTCTTTTTGGCAATAATATCACTTCTTCCTTATTTTACAAAATAGACACATTATTTAGAAACCAAGTGTACAATGAAGACTACTTAATATAAGGCTCAATAGTTACTTAAATAAATTTCAAAATCTTCAAATCCAGCTGAGGCCATCCTTTTTTTTAAACAACCCAAGATCATTGTAAAAGTAACAACGTAAACTCAGTTTTTTATCATTTGCCACACAAAGATATCCATGGTAAACACATTATGATAGATAACTTGATAAAATGAAGATTAATTTCCTTAAAAGTTATTATTTCTATACATATCATACTGAAATTTAGAAATTATTGAAACCTTTTAATAATTCGAACAATAAGACTGTGTGAGCATTAAAATATTAAGAACTCCCATTCTGAAATCTGATAAATATATTTTATACAGTTTTTTCCGAAAATCAAAATAATCATCTGTAATAAATTCACGCAATTATTTTTGAATTCACAGTATTAAAATTAGTATACATTAGATGAAACTGCAAATGACAATATATCTTGCCGTTTTTTTTTTTTTTTTTTTTTTTTTTTTTTGAATTACAATGGAAATCTGCCGCAGAGTTTTGAACAAAATCGAATCATAGTGAAGAGAAAATAATTTTGATTTCTAATAACAAACTACTTTGGTCATATTTTTTTTCAAAGTGTAGCCACGATTGTACAGTGTATTAATTTATATAAGTGTACACATTTGACCTTATGACACCGGTTAAACTTTATAAAACTTGTATAATAAATAATTATTGAAATGGTTATTTGATTATGACTTTGAAAACTATTTTGATCTAATGATAAATACTATCAGATATCTAAATATTGCTTGATATTAGTCTGTTTTATTTTTGTACAGTTTTGAAGTAGCACATACACGATATATCATAGAATCTATGACTTCTTGATATTCCAATCTCTTAAGTTCACAATAATAACACTCTTCCCTTAGTCAGATATATATTGTATTGCATAATCCATGATCCAATCACAATTATAAGTGCATGATTTTGAATAAAAAGATATCTATATCTACATGTATTTTATTTATATATAAAGGATAAATAATAACTGAGTCAAGGTACATTGGCAATGACTTTTAATAACTGTAATTGTCGGTTGCAAATGCAGTGTAAGAAGAGAGCACACCTCACACCCCCATCGAACCTACAAAAAGAAAAAAAAGTAATAAATGTAATGAATACTAGTCAATTTGTGGCGAAATTAGGTAATTAAATTTTTTAATTTAAATGTTCCGTAGCATATACTAATGATTGATTTCGTCAGATGATTCAAATTTGTCAGTTAAACATCAACGTAACAGTTTGAATGCTATGTTCAGGTTTGCGTATAAGCATTAACTACATACAGCTGTTTTGAAACAAACGCACAACGAAGGACGTCTCAACTCAAACCATAATTCAAAGGAAGTAACACTTTGTATTGTCTGTCATATACATGTTGTTGTCTTTAACACTTGTCATTGATTTTGACAAAAATGTAGACTTGACAATATTGTATAAAACATTAGTTTAACAACAATGCATAGCAATGAATGTTGATTTTATTTTAAGGCTATGTAGAATGGTTATAAAATTGTCAATCCGTTTTATTGATTTTTTTTTTCTTCAAACATACAGAGATGCATTGCCTTTACTAAACAATTTATAGTATGCCAACTAAACATATCCATTTTTGTAAACGCCTATATCCACTGGTTATTACAGAATCAAATTAATTTCAATAAGAACGCTCATATCGCAAATAATGTACGTATTTTGACTACTGTTATACGATTATATTATTTGTTTGTGCGTTTCTCTGTTATGAATGTTCTTGCATGTGTTTGTGCTGTATTTCTGACACGTAGTGTTTAGCGATATTTTTTAACATTGTCATAAAGCGGGAGGTTTGGCATGCCATGAAACAAGGTTCAACCCACCATTTTCTCTTAAAATGTCCTGTTCCAAGTCAGGAATATGGCAGTTGTTATCAAATAGTTCGTTTCTATGTGTGTTGGCGTTCGTTTTTGTTGCACTTCGGTGTTGTTGTTCCTCTATTTTCCTCTTATAGTTGATGTGTTCCCTCGGTTTTGGTTTGTAACCCGGATTTGTTTTCTCTCAATCGATTTATGACTTTTGAACACCGGTATACTACTGTTGCCTTTATTTATACGATAGATTTGGAAGATACCACAGAGATATTAGAACTCATTCATAACTTGATGACAAACTTACAAAGCCAAAATGAAAAAAAAAACAACAAAAACTATAAAAAGACAAACAGCGGTTTACAAAACACAACATAGAAAATATTATTCAATAAAGTATATAACTATCATAATACAAGTGACAAAATGTTTCAAGGTTTTTGGAGAGTTCATAATAATAAATTGGGCCGTAATGAATCAAACCTTTTAAGTCTTCTTTATGCATACATTTGTAAGCATTTAGAAAATTGTAGCTAATTCTATTTGATAATTTGATGAAATGGTTGAAATTAGGTTTGTCAAATTGTTTATTTAACCTTTTCATGTATAATGAAATATGATTAAAAATGCAATTGCCCTTTCAAATATAACAAAAATAAAAATATTTTCAAATAATCTATTTACTGCTAGTAATTGTCTTTATTAATTTTACCAATAAATGGTAACGACTCCACAAACATGTGTACATTGATAAACGTTAGATTATATTGTGTCATGTTCATCATATGATCAAACTTCTCTATAGGTAAGCCCTTTTTTATATAATCCCTGAACGAACTATGAGTCTCCTCATGAGGTTTTTGATTATGTGATTACTTGGCCTTTTTTATAGTGATTATTTTATTACCAGACCAAATATTTCATGATTATTTGATTATTTGATAATCTAGGACTGATTTTTTGATTATTTGATTATCTTGTTTAAAAAAATAACTAATGATTATGTGATTATATTGGCAACAAATTTGTGATTATGTGATTACTTGGACACCCCCATGAGGGGCTTCAATTATAATGTTCCGATATAACTTCTATGGTTTCACCAGCTAATTCCTGCAATGTAAAAGATACGTATCAGATGGACATTACGTTACAATTGTGATATTCCAACAGAAGTATGTGAATGAACAAATAATAGCTAAGAATAAATGGACACTTAAATTATGAGAGTGAATTTTCTTCGAAGAAACTAGATATTATTGAAATAAATAAATGATTGATTGTTGAAATTTAAAATCTTTATTGTATTACGCTAGCGTAAATGATCACAATGAACGGTAGAAAACTCTTTACGTTAGAATGTCTCGTTTTCATGTTTAATCATTTGTTAATATCGTTTGTCCTTTTATCTTTTTTTAAAGGACGGGGGTTGAATACTAGTACTGTAATGTACTTTAAAAGCTCGATTCTTTGTTTTTGTTATGTTTTTGTTAAAATTCATCATACAATGATCTGATGTGATCATACTTTTTTCATTTTAATCAGTTGAAATAAATAAAGCTTTTGTTTTAATAAAAGTAGTCCAAAATCATAATTCTGTGCAGTTATCCATATTTTTACAAATTTTGATGGTATATGGTATTGTGGTGGCTAGAATAAAATATTTCTTATTGAATGTTTCGGTAACAGAGGACAAGGACAACATTACAGTAAATACACGAGAAAAAAAAAACGATATAGTAGTTTACCGATGTAAGCTAACAAATCGACTAGGAAGAGACAAATTAAATAACAAACAAAACTTCAAGACTTAAAACTCTGGTACTATGTTTGTAACACCCGCCATGCAAATACACACCTGTAAAATTGTTTCAATGGGTTAAAATAGATGGGAGGACATTAACTAATCAATTTAAAGTCGTTCAAAATTTATTTTATCTTTTGTGAATATTTTTGACTTTTATTTTTTAGCATTGCTCTTCATTACGACCAAACACTACTTCTTTCATTGAACAGGTATTGAAAAGTATTACTCGTGTCACATTATAATTTAAGGTCAATATTAAAGTAATTTGACATGGTATTCTTCTATGAAAATTTGCATATCATGCACAAAATACGACCAAAAACAAATAACTTTCTACAAAATTATCATATATTAATTTCTATGTATTAAAATAGGACAAAATGAATTACCTTCTGCTGACAATATTTGTATATAGATGCTGCACATTGCTATCGATATCAGGTAAGTTTGTGACTTGATATAAAAAGGAACTTCCTTTATATCCCATACCAACCATGCATGTTTAATTGAAACTAATCTGGTAATTAAGTGAGAATACAATCAGAATCATTTTGTCTTCAAAAATAAACGAAAATAACTTTTTTATAAAAGTAGTGCATCGAAACACTTTTCTTGATATACCTACATCAGGAACACTCAAAAACAAATATTTGAAAGCAAAGGATGTATAAGAACCTAAACATGTGACGAGCTGTATCACCAAAAGGGATAGTAAAAACAATAGCCAAATCTATCTAAAGTCAATTTGCATGAAATTGTTTGAACCTTAGTTTCATGATATTTTCTAAATTTATAAATGAACAATGTATGTATGATATCAATCATTTCAATACCGAAGCAGTTACTAATGAGCTGATGATACACGATGGAACTGATAGTGAACCAGCAGCGACATCGACTAAGCGTTATAAAAAAAAAATTGAAACGTGTATGTTGTATGTTGATAAAAATGACTCGAAGACGACTTTAGATAATACAAAATACGATGAAAAGAATTTTTAATCCACATTATACATGTAATAGCTAGAACCCCTCCATAAGTGGCATTAAGAAAATAAACAAAAAGAATTGGGTTTTCAAATCATCAAGGTAACATCTTGTATAGTAGACCTTACTTTGATGTATGCATATACAGGTATGACAAAAATACCAAGGCTAATTAAAAAAAGGAGGTCAATTTAATTTCAAAATCCAATGTTATTAATCAACGGATCGAGTGAAAAACAACTGTCATATTCCTGACTTGGTACAGGCATTTTCCGAAGAAAATGCTATGCTAAACCTGGATTGATAGTTACTCTCACTTATACAATTATATTCGATTTGTAGTTTTACTGATGTAAGACATACAGATTGTTGATAACTTTGTTATTAATCTTAGTTTTAATTTTTAAATTTGTCTTAGAAGCTGAGTGTTTCAATTGCAAAGGCGACGGAAAGTGCATTAATCCAAATCTCAGGTGCGATGGTAAAAATGACTGTCTAGATGGTTCCGACGAAGAACAGACTATGTGTAGAGGTTAGTGCATTGCATTCAAATATTAAAATAATAAGCTTCAGTGGTATAATGACTAATATGATTATCATTTGTACAAATATTTATCTAAAAATATATTTCCTTACCTCTATTTTGTAATATGTTTTAGAAGTTTGGTTCCACAATGCTATAAACTTTGTGCTTTATGTGGCCTTTCAAACTTTTGATTCGAGCGTTACTTGTGATTGTATTTGGACGAAACACGCATATGACGTACAAAATTTAAAACCTGGTATCTATTATGATTTTTTTAGTTGCCTCAAGTTTTATGTTATTCATTATTTTTATTTACATATATTCGTCTTAATATGTTACCAATACAAAATTAACAATCTTCTATCCTTTTTTTAAGCCCATGCCTGCGATTTTGGATTTGAAAAATGTGAAGACGGTCTGCAGTGTTATTCAAAAGGCCCTAATTTTTGTGATGGGATAATTGATTGTAATGACGGTTCAGATGAACCTGCAGCAGATATATGTAAAGGTAAAATTGAAAAAAAGTGGCATACATGGAGCACTAACACACTAACCTATCATTTTATCATTAAGTTTTATCAATCTTGGGGGAAAGGGCTTTATTTGAATCTACAATAATTCTGGTTAATAATTCGGCTAGATATACATGACAAGTGTCAATGTCTGAATTCAAAAAAAGAGGCATACTGTAGACATTATGAGTCGTAGACAAAATATGCAAGCGGATAAGATGAAATAGTGAAGTGGGGAAAACAATATTTTACATTGAAATCTAAAATAGAAAACATTACAATGAAAAGAGAATGACCGTTATAAATATGATTGAAAAGTAGATCTTAACTTTGAAATCCAGAGTGTACAAATTACCATACTACGGCCGTTTTCGGAGTGTTTATTTTGTTTCCATTCATTTGTATCGATTGCACTCAATACCTTATGCAATTTATCGATATATATGTTGGTATTCTGTATAAAGCAATCTGGATGGTGATCACCAAATTTAGTTTTTTATGCTTTGGTTTGCTGAAGTTGGAAATTTGTTTAAACTTCTAATACTTACCATGTTATTAGAACTTTTGTCATCAGATTAGAACAAAATGATAATTGTGTTTTATTTGGTAAAATTGTGGTTTTTTTTAGTTTTCTATTTGTATGAAATGTGCCCCCTTTATTACTGATACATAATTATTTCGCATTTAAGAACCGAATTTCAAATATTATTTTCTATCACTTTTTTGGAAACTTAAAATATAATATATGTGTAGCAAGTATCATGTCATTCGTACCCCTTGAATGAAAAGTATTATAATTTTATCACATTACATCCTTCAGATGTTCACATTAGTTTCTCTGATATCAGAAGTTATATATTTTTTTAATTTTGTTATATATTTCATATATTAGCATTTGGTTTTAAAGTTTCAAAATTAGATACATTTTTTTATTAACTGTCTCGGATTTCTCCTCTTCCTCCTTTCATAAAGATACATCTTTGAATCTTATACTGATAATCTTCATGTTCCTGCCATCAGAACCAAATGAGGAATATTGGTACAAAACTAAACATATGTTTTTTCTGTGAACATAGTGAAGTGTGTATTTCATCGCCCGCACTTTTTTCTTAAAAGATTACGAAACGATTATCAAAAAACATTGTATTTCATTGCCTCAACGTTTTTCATCTGATTTAAACATGTCAAATAAGTAAACTACAAATGTGATATAGTAATTTTATGTAGTTCAAATTTTCGTCAGACCTGTATCATATTCGTCAAAATGTTGTTATTGGTTGTTTGTGTTTTGTATCCCTCGACATTGTCTTTTTTTTTTTTTTTTTTTTTTTTATTTTTTTATAATTTTGACATTACAATGCATTAGGTCATTTATTGACCATTATTGTCAAAAAACATCCCTTTTATATTTTAATATCTTTTGTTTACCATTTTTCTTTTGTTTGCTAATAGTTTATCAATTGCAGCTAGGAGCTGTTCATATATGAATATCAAATGCAAGGATGATATGCAATGTGTATATTTCGATCATCTTTGTGATGGAAAGGAGGAATGTAACGATAAATCAGATGAAGATCCAGAATTCTGCAAAGGTAATTACTGAAAACAATCTGTAAAAAACAAATTGTTCAGTGCACAAATCCCTCTCCTTGAACTGATTCTTCAAAATAAAGATAAAAAAATCCTCAATGATATCCGGATGTGAAAGAGAGACCGAAGACATCAGAGGGATATTCAAACTCATAAATCGAAGAAAACCTTGCGACGACAAATCAAAAACGAAAAAAAACGACACAACATATAAAACAAAAGACTGTGCAACACAGACCGAACCAATAATCAGAAGTAATCTAATGTGCTCCATATAAGAAACGTATTATCCAAAAGGGTGAATACAGCCTGCCTCGAATCTGTCATCTGAGGTAAATCACATTACATTATTCATAAAATTCTTTAAATATTGGTTATTCGTTGAAAAAGTCCTATGTTAAGTGAGGTTCAAGTAATGCATTTTATGAATATATAACGGGAAAGTTTTGGCTTTCTATAAATTAAGTACGAAACAGACTCTTTTTTACAATAGACAAGTTGCCAAACAATGTCGCTCTAGTTTCAAAAGTAATAAATTAATTTGCGAAGTTTGTGACTTGGTATAGGCACCTGTTCATATATCATGGTTAAACTATATTTTCTAACAAAACACTAACTTTTAGATAATCTCAATCACTGCTAAAACAAAAAGTACATAATAAACGTTATTACAGACAATTCTGTCAACTCTATATATAATACCAAAACAAAAGTAACAATTACATAAGTAATATTATTATGTAAAACAAGTCTTCTTTCTTATAACCAAAATTGGTTACTTCAAACTTCTTTGGTATTCAGTTGACCATTTAAACACATCAGTCAACATAATATTATGTAACCAATAGAGAATAAGCAATTCTCTTTTATTTTCTTTAAGCACATGATTGCGATTTTGAATTCAAAACATGCAAGGACGGTCTACAGTGCTACTCCGAAGCTCGTCATTGTGATGGGCACATCGACTGTAAGGACGGTACGGATGAACCCGCAGCAGAAATATGCAGAGGTAATAAATAAAAAGAGCACGTGTGGCATTCTTGAGGAATTGGTTCTGACGGAAAAGCATAACAAGGAAAGTAAATGAAAAAAAAGTTCACACAGGCTGAAAACAATCATAAGTTTTATACTTAAGTCTTTGAAAATTCGAATCAATCGTATGATACAACACGCTTCTAATAAATAATATAGCTGGATGATTATCTTGGTAGATAATTTTGACAAAAGACTTAGTCTGAATTCAATGAAGAGACTCCTAAATACTGTAAAACTGATGAGTCGTATACAAAATGTGCAAGTGGTTTATACTGAAATATGTATCCTGCCTTTGGTGTAAAATATATTACTAGTACATCAAAATCTGTGTTATGAAAAATAACATTAAAATCAGATAATGATCATATACAAAACTGGATCTGCGGTATATCCATTACTGAAACGTATTGCAGTTTTTTTCATCGCTTTTCTTGATACTTCAGACATATTGTTAAATTAAAAAGTGGGATACCACCATTTTGACCTTTTGAGTCATTTTTTTTATCAAATGATAAAATGATGTTCAGATTGGTCTGCCTGGTATCCATATTTTTTTTAATTGTGACTGATGAATTTGAAATGTTTGCGTTGGATTTTAACGTTCTAGCAATTAACATTTTTAGACAATACATTTAGGTAAATTGACATTTTCTACATGTTTTTTTTTTATAAAACTGTTCCAACCTTTCCTCCTCCCATTTCAAAATGCATCTTTGAATATCTACATTTTAACTGATATTCTGCATTTTCCTCAAATTACAATCGAATGAGGAATATCGATAAACAACCTACGTGTGTTTCTTCTGTGAAAGTTCTTTTTTATTTACCTGTACATTTTTTAAGACGATGATACGCTCTTTGTGTCACCATTGCCTCAAAGTTTTTCACCTGATTATAATAAATCATCATTTTTTTTCTTTATAAGATTGTAAAATTAAGCAAGTAAATGTTTTAGTAATATTATATTGTTCAAACTGTAAGGTGTAGAACTACTAATTCGGGTCTGGTCACAACGAAAATACAAGGATATACAATATCTTTTAACAAAATAGTCAGTACGCATAGCTATAACTTTGTCAAAATGTAAAATACTTGGGTTAGATTGGTATCAAATGAAAGTGTAAGTAAGGACTTACGATCACAGGATAACCCTTGTGTAAAGTTTCTCCTGATTAATAAAACAAAATATGAAAATATGATAGGAGGGCGTATTTGCCCTGTTGCTCAGATCAGAAGAACTTGTTTTTGTTCTACCCGACTTCCGGGAACCAGTGCTCTCTTATATGCGATCAAAGTTATGTTGATTTTGCAGAATAAGGTACTTTTAGTATGTTTTGCCTGCCATTTTATTTGAACAAAAGACACAATATCTTGATACACCATTGTCACAGGTTCGAGGGGAGAGTTAAGCGCTCACAAACATGTTTAACCCCGCAACATTCTTTATGTGCCTGTCCCAAGTCAAGAGCCTCTACTTCAGTGGTTTTCGTTGGTTTACGTCTGTCATATTTGTTTTTCGTACATTGTTTTGTTATATTTCAGGGTGTTAGTTTTCTCAGATGAATTGTTTCATATTTTTCATATCGGTGGCTTTTATAGCCGACTATACGGTATGGATTTTTCTCATTGTTGAAGGCCGTATAATTGCTTACATCTTTTACATTTGAACTTAGGTGGATATTTGTTTCATTGGCAATCATGCTACATCTCCTTATTTTTATACTAAATGACTGAAATTGCACAATGTAAAATAGAAAGCAATGGGGCTATAACTTTAGTGGTTTTATTCATTTAGTGTATCATATTCGTCTCAATTATGTGATTGTCTGTAAGAAAAACCATCTCTACTATCCTTTGTTATCTGAAGTTGACCATTTCTCCTTTGTTTTCGTATTACTTTGGATTCATTTGTTTTCGTGAATACCAATTTTCGTCGGTGAAGTGAAAAATGTATATTTGATTTCGTGGTTTAACGTTTACATACCCGCCTAAAAAATCGATACTTCTTTGAAATTCTGAATTTGTTTAACTGTTACCACGAAATCCGGTATCCAACGAATTATAATGTAATCACAATAATTATCAATTGCAGCTAGAGAATGTCCATATGAGACTACTAAATGCATGGATAATATGCAATGTATACATTTCGATCGGCTTTGTGATGGAAAGGAGGAATGCTACGATAAATCAGATGAAGATCCAACATTCTGCAACGGTAATAACTAAAACATATCTGTTAGAAACAAATTTTAAAAACAATTAAACTATTCTTCAAAAAAAGGATAACAAAATCTTCATGGGAAAGAGAGGTGGAGTACACCAAAGAGAAATTGAAACACATAAGTCGAAGAAACACTGGCAACGCCAAGGAACAAAAAATTACGACGAATATAAAATCAACAGACTTCAAAAAACATTGAAAACTAAATCAACACGAACCCAACCAATAATCGAAGGTGATCTCAGGTACTCCATACAAGTAGTGATTATCCGAAAGGATTAATATGGTCTGGCTTGAACATTTAATGTCATCCATTATACTTATTAATAGTGTTCATGGTTAAAAAAAAACAATTTAAAACCCCTCAATGAAACTATCATTTTCCTTTGAGTGTTACTATGTCAAAACAGGACATTTCATAATTATAGCGGATAACATACTAATGCTCAATGATTAACCTGATATTCAGGATGCACAAATATTCTAAGGAATTATTTGAATCTGAAATAGTTTTGAATTTTGGAAAATTTATAAAAATTAATCCAATTTTAGTGGGTTAACCATGCGCGCATGGCTAAGGCTCAAGGTTTTTTTTCACTAATATTTCAGTATGAAATAACTAACCAAATTAGTTTCCATCTTAAATTTGTTATCAATTTTACAGAATTTTTAAACTATTCCAGATTCAAAGGAGGCGAACGATACCAGAGGGACATTCAAACTAATAAATCGAAAATAAACTAACAACGCCATGGCTAAAAAAGAAAAAGACAAACAGACACACAATATTACACAAAACACAACATGGAAAACTAAAGACTAAGCAACACTACCCAACCAAAAACTGGAGAAATAATTCCTTGTTTCTACCTTCTTACCTTTTCATATCAGTCTGTCCTATATTATCCAAAAGCGTCCAGTGTTATAACGCATTGCGACGTCATAGTGTAAAAAAAATTTTTTAATCTAGAATATTGCGCAATTTTGTAAAAAAAAATGAAATAATGCAATGATTTGTTTTCAAATGACCAAAAACATACTACTCGCGACTTGCATTAAACACTTATACTAAAATATGGAACAAGTACAATAGGGATTTAAAAAAAAAACATGAACATTTTCTATTTTGTTTTCACTTGCTTACAGTTAAGTCTAATAACAAAAAACTTCACAAACTTGAAGCAGACATATCAGGAACTTTTACTCTCGGCATTTAAAATTCATATATTTATGAAGCTCGCTTTTCAATATAGTACGTCACTGACTCTAGTACAGAATTATCGTACCACACTAGCAGCAGTCATGGAATCTATCTGTATCATGCATTTCCTAGTTCAGTAGAATTTTTTACATGAGAAATCTAAATGAAAATATTCAGTTCTGGGATATTGTTTCAACTCATGATCATGGATACTTGACATATATTGTGAGAGGGATTTAAGGTGGTACCAAACACCTTGACTGAAATCAATTTGGCTCGTTTAATTTACATAAAGTTTTGACAAAATATTAACTTTGACCCTTTGACAAAAATATAAAAATTTAAAAAAACTTGAGCCACACACTTTATCGAAAAAATGTCATTGGATATATAGAACGTGATTAAAACGTTCGGGTGGTTTTTACAGAGTTATCTCCCTGTAGTGTTATGTCCCACCTTAACAAGTCTTAAAAGGATAGACGACATATGTCAGTGCTGCAATCTATAACTAATTTCACGTGTGCCATTATTAGAAGTTCTCACTGTCTCCAGGTGATTTTTTTCGAGATTACATTCATATAAAACTTGTCATTTTCAAATAGCATGAACAAATCATTTAAATCTACAATTTTTTTTATTAAAGAATCTATGGAGCCGAATCGAAAATTATTTGTCTAATGATTAAAGGAGTCATATGTTTTTGTGCTATTCTTAGAAGCATCGGTTCAAATGAAGTCTATGAACTCTAAAGGTCCTTATTTGAAACTCCTTATTAACGCACAATGATAACATAAACGTAAAAATTATCAAATCAGTTTTTATTGGTTTTGAATGGTCAAAAGATGATCAACTTATTGATTTTCTATTACTAAGTATAACTAAATTAGATAGATAATTAATACAGCTGTTTTATCTATCCGAGGTATGGCAGTGGTCGAGAATAAATGGGACTAATCTACTTTATGACCATGAACTATTAATAATTGTTTCATAAGTAATTAATATATCTGATTTAAATGCTGATCATGTGTTTAAGACTTTTTTACAAGGATCTGAATACGCTCCGTTCTACTTTCTGTTTGAAAGAACTTTTTGGATCCTCTGGTTTTGTCGGATTAAAACATGCCTTCAAAATTTTTGAAAGACGAAATTGCATTGGCCTATGTTATAATTACCATAACATAAGGTAAAACGAAGTCTTACCAGATCCTTGTCAGTAAAGCTTGGACACGGGATCTGTATTTCAAACAGTTTGGTTTTATTAAATCAAATCATCGAATTATCTTCAAAATGTGCCGATTTTGGAATCTGAAATGTAAAATTATGAAGAGTTTCAGTTTAAGTTTCAATTAATTGCCAATACCTGCTAGTTTGTTTTAAATTTAACGCTTCTATTAAGCTATATGTATAGATTATAACATGCCCTTTTCCATATTGGCCCTGGTATCATCCCGAGACTCCCATATCGGCCTCGAGGCTTTAGCCGAGGGCCGATATGGGTCGAGGGATGATACCAGGGCCAATATGGAAAAGACATGTTATAATCTATTTATCACATATTTAAGTTCTGCAGAAAAGAGAAAAAAGTTCAATTATAACAATTTAATGAAATATAACAGGTAAAATCTTAAAAATGTTATCACAAAAGTTTTATCACATTTTCAAATTTAGTTTTTATCATTTACTCCATAGAAATTTATTGTCACATTTCCACTTATTTTTGAATATGGCAATACACAAACTCGAGAATTTGGCATAATCGGGGCTAAATCTATAACTGTTGGTTGTGCATTGTTACTAGTTGCCATTGTAGCAGAATTCTCCTCATAACTTTCAATACAAGCAACCATTGCATCGACATCTACATTTGTTAAATCATCATCTGTTAATTGTTCAATATTGTGAATGGATGTACTTGGCTGATTAGAGATATTTTCATGATTATTAATTATAGATCCTCGGTTACCAGAAGAGATGTCACTCAAAATGTTTGACATTTTTTCTTGCTGCTCTAGAGAAGCAGAGCTATATTGGTTTATAGATTGAACATTACGGTGTCCAGTCAACTGCATTATCTGGGTAGCTTCAACGTTAGAATGTAATAATGAAGTAACTGTTGTTTTTCTGGCACTGTGGTTAACTTTACGGCCTGTGAGACCAGCTTTAAGAGACATAGTTTTTGCCAAGTTACCAAGCTTGTTTTTTCCCAGTGGTTGTTTACTGAACCACAATGCTCTAATAGATGGGAGAGTGCTGTCAGGGGTAATATTGTGAAGTGTTGACAGATACATCCTACTGTCTGGTGTCAAAGTATCAACAGGCCGTCTTTTCATGAACTCTTTAAATGCATTTACAGGACATCTTGGGTCACCTACAAAGAAGACCAATGATTAAACATACAAAATAAAAGAAGAAACTTCTTTTTTCAAAACATAACATTTTTTTTCAAATATTCTTAAATGTAAATCGCAGAGAATATATGTTTTGTTATGTATTAAGAATACGATTTCGGGTTTTTTTTGTGTTCTGTTCCGATTGCTGCAAAGTAGTTTTATTGTAAGTTAATATGAATTGATATTACAAATACGTGTTTTTGTAAGATTAAAATATCATGATGTAATTCTATACGGTATTTACCTGGGTTTTCAAACATTTTAGGTGCAAACGACCTTGTATTTCCAGACTCCTCTTGTCTTGTTTTTGTCATTCTTTCGGAATATTCAAGATAGTGCTTTCCTTCAGATGTTGCTTTCATGGTTACATCACCAAATAACATATCTGTATGCTCTTGTCTACTTCTCATTCCAAAATGGAGACAGTTATTTAACCATATTGTGTTTGTTAAGGCTTCAGGGTTACCTAAAATAACATACATTGAATATGAAATTATGCGAAATTACATTTATATATATATGGCCTTCCAAATATGAATAATTTATATTCAAGTTTACTTACATTATACAAATACAACTACCTTTTTTCTTTTATTCAAAGAAATTCTATTAATTGAGAGGAGATTCTCTGGAAATCACTTTTTAATTTATAATAAAAAAAATTAGGCATAATATTAGAAATACAACTATAGTTATTGTATAACTGAAACTTTTGACGGACTTTAATTACTATCCCATTATAAAACGGGAACTGCGTTTTAACTATAAAATAAATCTTAAATACTTTATTAATACTTGATTATTAAAACTTACTTATTCCTAGCAGATTTTTGTTGAACAAGGAATCAATTTCATCAGAAGTGAAGGGGTCTGCACGTCTTTTTTTGTTTCCAAGTCCTTTCCCTTTCAATGCTTTCCGCTTCGCCCCTAGAACATCCCGAGAGTGAGCAAATTCCTTGTCCTTTATAATACTGATGTTGTTTTTTTCATTCAGATATCTATTTATGGATGGTTGAATGCACTTAAGCGAATCCGGCTCATATTCTTTCTTATCTTTTGTACGTACGGCTATGTAGAATCTTGCCAGATACATATTCATCGCTTCAACTGGAATATCCTCTGGATTGCGTAATTCTCCTGCACTTTTTAACCACTCCTTTAGAATTTTAATGTCACTTTCAGTTTTTTTCCTTGTGTTAGCGTTTTTCATTTCCTCTACAAAGTCTGCCGTATCGTTTCCTCCACTGCGATGAAACGAGCACCGTCATTGTTCGCCATTGTCGTTAAGGACGCAATGACGTCACGTCATTTGGAATCAGGGCACAATAACCAATAACCTCTTTTTTGCCCCGGGCAATTTTGAGGTTATTGCATATGCAAAACCCAACGTATTCGTAACAAATATGTGATAAGTAGGTTTACAGACCTGTATAGATTATCTTAGCTTTATTCGGTGTCTCTAATACTACGTTTTCTTTTGTGACTTCATTATCTATTATTAAAAAGGCCAAAATCTGGTTCTTAACTGAATCTTCTTCAAAAACTTCAATGCTAATTAATACAAACTCTTGAGAATGATAAATTATAGGCTCAAAAGTTGGAAAATGTTGAAGAGAACATTAAAATTCGAAGCTGTGATGCTTACATAAAGGTCTAAACTACATAATTGATAATTTGAGGTGACATAAAGAAGTGAGTTAGCATCAATATCAATATCACAACTCTTTCTTTGTGAAATGTGTTTTATTTTTGCATGATTTAAAAAAAAGATATCAAATTCATAGGGCCAATTTTAGCACTTCGTGGACCCACTCCTTATATTGTGACACCAAACATTATATAACATGTATAAATAACCATTATTCTTACAGCGACGAAATGTCTGGAAGACGACGTCAAATGTCGGAATGGTCTTCAATGTGTTCTTCGCGGGTACTTGTGTAACGGAGACAATGATTGTCGTGATCAATCGGACGAAGATGAAAACTTTTGCAAAGGTAAAGCATAAGAGTGTGCGTATAACAAATCATTGGTTTGCACATTGAGTCAAATTCAATTTACAATTGTTTTATTTGGTTCATACATTTTACAGCAATGAATTACAGAGCATTCAAATTTATTTGATACACTGCGTCCGCATTATGATTTCCAAACAAATAAACTAAATGACGTCAATACCAAACACTTGTATGTTTCATTTGGAATGTAGGTTGTTTTGAGACCGAAGATTTTTTTCGGCATCAGTTTCAAAATGATATCTTGACACGGAAAGGATTGTAAACAAATCTACAGGACTTGTATAAGATATTTACAAAGATCCGCAAATATTGTGCTTACTTTATTATTTGTCTTCTTAAATTGCAGTGTTTAAAATATCTTACTTTTAATTACCTACAGCAGTGTATCCATCAAGTGGAGAAAATTTTACAGAACCAATCTGCTGATAAGGATTTGAAAAGAGTCCGTTCTATTGTCTTTCCTGTTGATGTTAATTAATGCAGCTAGGGTTTCTTAATGTTCGACGATAGATTGTTCTTAAAAAAAAACTTCTAGCTAAAAGTACTTTCAAATTTTAATATAAAAACTTGAGGTCAATTTAAAATACTTTGAAATTAACAATATCACAAACATATTAAATGGGTTATGAAGGGAAAACTTAATGTTTCCTTATTGATAAACATTAATCGATAGAATTAGTTAAAATTCATTGAAATCATGGCTTTTCATAAATACTTCCGGTCAATACAGTCATCTTTTAAGACCCAAATGTTGCAATGCGCCTGTCCTATCTCTTTGGCAAGTTAACATGTTTATTTCTCCGTAGGTAAAAGCCCAAAACAACTTCGTTTTTGTTTGTAAAATACATTACATAAACTGCTTTTTGAATGAGTTAGGTATTGAATTAAATTGTAGTAAACATATACTCCCAACGACACTCGCCAAGGAGGCAATTCTTGATAATCATGGGTCTGTTTCCCTCCTTTACACAAGTATTCCTCATTTAAAACTAAAAGACAATAATTGTTCGTGCTTTGTTTTACAAAAAAAAACATTAGTCAACGTAGATACTATTATATTGTATTAAGGAAGGATAAATCGTACTTCGTAAAAAATCACTCTGATTCAAACAAAAAATTCAAGACTAACATTATTAAGGTGTTTAATTGTTTGATTGACAACATATCTGTTACGTTTGGAGGAAGTGGTTTTCAACGAATAATTGATATTACAATGGGAACCAACTAAGATCCTGTTTTTACCGACTTGGTCCTTTTTCATATGAGGCTGACTTCGTACAAGAACCTCTTGAGAAGCTAACATTATTCTTTAACTTCATGTCCAACTATATACATGATGTACTCTAACACAATATTTCCTCTTACTTATGATGTCCACTTACTAAATGATTTAAATTGTGGTGACTGTGTTGAACACATCTTCGAATTCAATTCAAAGGATACAACACAAACAACTAAGTGTGCTTAACATCTTGACTTAAATATAGAAATTGACATCCATGGTCGGTTGAAAACAAAACTTTACGACAAAAGAGATGACTTCAGTTTCATAATTGTGAACTTTCCATTTCTATGTTAAAACATTCGAGTAGCGCCTGCATATTGAGTATATATCTCCCAGTTGATACGATATTCCAGAGCTTGTATATCCTATTTTTTGATAGAAGGTTGGTGCACATAATGAAAATATTAAACAAAGAGTTTCAAGTGGTAGAATTGAAGTCATCCTTCCAACATTTTACGGACACCATCACGGGTTGGTTGACCGTTATGAAATATCTTCTTTACATTATTATACTTCAAAATGCCAGATGTTGATTGGTCATTACGAGGGAGACAATTTACTTTATCCCATGGCAAATACTCTATTACCCTTCAAGGAGACGCTTGCTCAAGTGTGCACTTTAATAAATGCTGATGATTTTTATGCACAAGACGTCACAGTTTATTACTTTGAATTTGAAATTTAATAGACAGTAATAACAGAACATTTAGTATAATAAATTAAATAACACATATCTGAGAGGGTGATAGAACAGATTGTTACCCCTCAAAAAGACATTGTCAACCTTGGCTTCGCCTCAGTTGACAATGTTTTCTCGGGGTAACAATCTGCTCTATCGCCCTCTCAGCTATGTCTTATCTGTATAATGTCGACGAATATATTTCAATTGCCAGTACAACTATTCCTTCCTCTATTCTCTGAATGTGACCTACCGAATAAGACTAATCACCGGATTTGTACTTATATACCATAGAACGGATGCCACATGTAAAGGACTTTGGTATTCTTCTCCTCATTTTCCGAAATATGAAAATAAAAAAGGGGGTCACGGGTCACGGTCGTATTTTCTTGTAAAATAAAAAAAAAAATTCTGATCATATTTATTTGAATTATCTGAACAAAAAACGACACATAATTTTCTTAAATCTTAAAATTTTAAGTTTTTGATGGTTCTGTTGTATATTGAATGTGAAATTTATCTAAAACTAAAATGTAATTTTGCAACTTAGAAAGGATGCTCAGAAAAAGCCACCCTATCTACCTGAAAACAGAAAACATAATTTTTTTCGGGACTTTTGACAATGAAAATAATGTCAAGACCAAGTCTTAAATGAAATCAAATTATTTTTTCTTAATAAAGTTTTTTTCTGTTATATAGCGAACAAATGTCTGGAAGGATATATAAAATGTAAGGATGATCAACAATGTTTTCATGCCAGTGACTTGTGTGATGGATACATTAGTTGTCGTGATAACTCCGATGAGGATCCGAACTTTTGCAAAGGTAAACCACAAATCAGAATATATTTAAGACTCAGATCGAACGTCCGGTCTTTAATCGACGTTCGATCCACAAGTCTACATCCAAATCTGACGTCATAATACAATAAGATTTCAAATCGATGGCCTATCATATGCCCCTCTTATCGATGTATATATATATGTTTTGTTTTTCTGAAGTTGACCTCCATTTTTGTCTTTCTCTTATCGACGGGCTTTTGGCGGAATTGCTGCAATGAGATTAAAACATTATCAAAAAGTGGGTAGAACCTATAACGTAAAAAGATGTTGAAAAAATAAGATTTTAAATCTTGCAGAGACCAAACTCTGTATTGTTCTATTGTTTGAGACTGCTTTTTGCCCTCTCTATGTCTTTCGGCTATCTTTGTTGTCGTTGGGTTTTTGTCACATTAACGTATATCTGTTACAGTGAATATGTATAATCAGAGCTTATGTAGAATACCTGATTTTTCAGGGAGGATGCGTAATCACTAAAATCATTAGTGATTATATATAATAGATATAAGAAGATGTGGTATGAGTGCCAATGAGACAACTCTCCATCCAAGTCAAAATTTATAAAAGTAAACCATTATAGGTCACAGTACGGTCTTCAACACGGAGCCTTGGCTCACACCGAACAGTAAGCTATAAAGGGCCCCAAAAATTCCTAGTGTACAACCATTCAAACGGGAAAACCAACGGTCTAATCTATATAAAACCCGAGAAACGAGAAAAACTTATGAACCACATCAACAAACGACAACTACTGAATATCAGATTACTGAAAACCCTGGAAATGACCATTGATTTTGAATAATCACTGCAAATTTTAAGACTTATTTTACAAATTCCCTGAAATTATTTCAGGGATTATCAATAACAGAATAATACAAAAATCTTATATAGACAAATACATTCTCGTTATTTCTTTACCTATTAAGGTTTAAGTGAACGATTGCCATACCCTGTGCCTGTTCATTATTCAAATCTAAAGGAAATAGTTTTTCAAGTGATATGGTATTTAACTGTGTTGAACCACGCTAACTCATGAACAAATAAATTTTTAAAATTAAAAAAATAATAATATCAACATTCTCAATAACAGTGATGACTGCACATGTATGCCATGAATTTATTGTTTGTTCAAAACAGTATCAAAAGCACATTCATGTTCTGAATGAAATGCACAGTGCACGTAACTTGCTGTAAAACAGATCACATTAACAGTCAGAAAAACAAACAGAACGTATGCTTGACAGACTGAACACAATATAGGAGGAGTCAAACATTGACAGTAACGTTTTAATACCGATTGCGCATATAAATCGTGGAAAAGGAGACCTAAGAATATAATTGCCATAGTTCATGAACGGACTGAAAAAGATTATTGCCTGGTTACAACATACAGAATTTTTGCTCAAGATATCAATTTGAGGTGACTAATTCTTTTTTTGTGGCACCGTCAGATGTTTCTATTGACCGTATTTTGTGCTGTGAAATCAGATTCAATATATGAAGATAAGGTTTTTTTTTAGATGTTGTTGCAAAATAAAAAACGAAAAGCAAAGCATGAAAATGAGTTGTCATCCAAATTTACAATGCAGTTTGTAAGAATAATTGATCTATATCAAGAGTATTGTGCTTAACATTTTAATATAAACGCTTCTAAAGATGGTTAAATAGTATTTTACAGAATAAATAATTTAACTTTTATTCATTGTCTCTTCATTCCAGTTATTATATATAATCCCTGGCAGTTTTTTGTAGTGATTATGCATAATTCAGGAAAAGTTTAGAAATTGAATATAATCACTAAAGTTACCAGTGATTATAAATAAACCCTAAAAATTTCAGTGATTATTCATAGAAATCCCTAATTGTACACATTTACTGTAACATATCCACATGTCATTTATGTATATAAACACATAAGGAATAAAACAACGTAGATACAGATAATGAACGTTGATTACAGTCAAACATTAGACACTGGTTTAAAAACGAGAGGTTATATTGGACATCGATTTGAGGAACGGACGTTGATAAGAAACAAGACGTTAATCTGAGTCTAACATTTTTGTAAACAGTTTCTACATTAACTTAAAAAAACATACGAGTGTGCAATTATAGTTATAAATTTGTGTGATACACAATGCTACAGAATATCAAGATTTGTTTGATATGTATATGTATATAGATTTTCCCATTTCATCGAGTGTATACTCGATTCAGTTCATCCAGTGTATACTCGATACAGTTTAAACTATACAATTAAAAGGCAAGGCTCGCAATATCTAAAATGCAACTGTCGAGAGTGGAGTAATATCGTGGTGATAAATTGGTGGTAGAATATGTTTCCATAATGATCTTAGACGATATGTACAGACAAAATTAATCTTTCTTTTCAAATGATTTGCCATAAGATGTGTTCTTGAAATGTAACGTCAACATACATGATCGCCTTTTTTCATGACGTCACATACAATGTAAGAACAGTTAGTGTAAAGCAGAGGAAAAATGACGTTATTTTTAAATTTGACAAATGAAGAACTGCAATCAAACGATCTACCTGTTGATTAAAAAAGAGAAATTAACATGTCAGGAAAGGATAAATGGGCAGAGAATTACAGAAACCGTATTTTCATCTTGGAAATAGAAATAAAATAATAAGGAGCAAAAGTCCAAAATATTGACAGAAAAGTCATTTACCAATGGGTAGGATGAATAACATTAGAATATGATTTATGCATACACTTTGCTGTTAGCTGACAATTGCAAAAGTATTAGAATTAAAGAAATACCAAGCCGTTTTGTATTTGATTCGATTTGGCCTTCCAACTGTTTGGGCAATACAGATGAGTCATGTTAAGTCAAAATGCAAACCTGGTACAAATGTAAAGCAAGTGAAAAGCCTGGTATCTTTTATGCATTATCAAACTGGAAGACGCAAAAGACTTTTGTTATTCTTTATTGTTGGAGCATGACTCAGGTCGTTGCTTTTCTCTAAATATTTGTTTCCTATTTCGTCATTTCTGAGTCTTTTATAGCTATATGAGATTCGTTTATCTCATTTAAGAAGAAACCGTTGTGATTTTGGAGCAAGTAAGATTTATCTCTTCTGAAAATAAAATTTTTCATTTTATATTATGAGATTGAGCTAATCATTTTAATCTGTATTTTTGCTTGATGAACAATTTTTTTTTGAATGACGTATATCAAAGAAACAAATTAAGATTTATTGCTTAATTATTTATCATTTGGAAAGGGCATAGTTTATCTCCTCAATCTTTGGAGTCCTAATATTAAACTCTTTCAACACATCTTGATCCCATAAACGACAAAATGGTCACGGAAACTCTTTTACGGGTCGCAAGTGCTAATATTGTGAATAAATGACCGCTAAAATTACACAAATAGATATGTTTTCTTACAGCAACCAAATGTGTCGAACAATATGCAAAATGCAAGGATACTCTTCAATGTGTACATATTTGGTTCCTGTGTGATGGAGTCTATCAATGTCATGATCATTCTGATGAGGATGCGGATGCTTGCACAGGTAAATGTTATTTACATTGTTTGCAGACGTCTTAAAAAAAATACCAATTCTCCTCTTGTTCATACATTTTTAGCTCACCTGGCTAAAAGGGCAAACAGACTTTTCCTCATCACTTGGTGTCCGTCATCCGTCGTCCGTTTAACTTTTACAAAAATCGTATCCTCTCAAATTACTGGGCAAAATTTTACCTTTGTCCTTTGACCCATTACGCCAAACAACATAGCCAACATGGATAAAATTTTGTCAAAAGGGTAAATTCAAGTTTTTGGAAATCATTGACAATCTCTCGCTTGTTGAACTAAAATATATTGTCAGGATTTGGTTTACCATTAGGCTCTTTTTACTAGATAAGGTCATAAAAATGTAGGGTTTGAATTTACAAATATTTTAGTCCGAGCATCACTGAAGGGACCTTAATTGTTGTAAATTTGGTACCGTTTATATTATTATAGGAGTTATTGCCATTAAATGACACAATTTACTTTTTCTTTTTATTTAAGGAATGACTGTAATATTTTTTCTGTCTATGAAGAAATAACATCAAAAATGTGGTGTACACTGAATAACTCGCGTAGCTGATAAACAAAACAACGTCAGCCAATCAAAAGACGCGTTACATCCAAAATTAAATTATTTTTGGATATTACTTTAAAAACTATAATAAACAGAGAATAACTTTACCAAATTTTACCAATAAGACAAGTTCTACAAATATCATGATGGTTGAAATCGTTAGACGACTTTTTATTGGAGTTATTGTCTTATTAGGATGATGTTTACCATTTTCTGTGTTTTTGCTTAATATGAGATGCGTCGGATATAAATCGACCTTATGCAAATTATACATCTGTTAATCTATTTAGAGTTGAACAAATCTCTATACAAAGTCTGTAACTGTTGGAAAATTGAGTTAATACAAATATCCTACAAAACACACCAAAATGTATCTTCTATTTCGTATTTGAATATTTCAAGATCTATCAAAGTGTTATACAGGTACATATACGTGCACCAGCATAAAGTCGATTTCTATCCGACGCAGTTCATATCTTAAAAACTTTGAGAGATAGATATAAACTTAAAATCTGCATCATATAGTTTATCTATATATCAATTATGGAAATTTCAGAATTTAATGTTCTTGTAACTCCAGGGTATGAATTTCCGTATCTAGCTAGAAGATATATTTTACTGTGTTATATACATACAAAATTTAAAAGGCACCATCGATTTTTATATTTATTTGTTTCTGTGTTGTTTTTTTTTTAAATTATTTTTTAGAATGATCATGATTAAATTATTTATTAAGTCATTTATTTTAAGTATTTTAAGTAATATATATTTGAAGACGTTTAGCAAAATTTTGAGCATGGAGGATATATATAATTTCAATACATATTTATAGTATGCAAACCTGGCTCACTTTTGTTTTTTTTTTGTTTTTTTTGTTTTTTTGTTTTCTTTTTTAGCCATGAAGTTATCTGTTAAATTTCGACATGAGTTTGAATGTCTCTTTGGGATCTCTCGCTTCTTTTTTAATACTCTTATAGTGTTAATCTTAAAACTATTGTATCTCAGAATACTAGTATATAAATATTTGATATTTATATTTCTGAAAATTGTAATACAACTCCATATGAGTTGGTTGTATGAACAAACTCATACAAATTGTTTATTTACTCTAATCATAAACAACCACTGTGTCGATGCCATTCCTGACGAACATTACTTCCATGATATCATCAGCTCAATTAGTCAGAACTTTTATGCTACATGAATAGCATCAATATGATTATATTCTGTAAATTCACAGATTCATAAATGCTATTTTATTTTCGAGACACTAATGCTTGCCGTATTTGGCACAATATAATTTTTAGATTTTTTGGTTTTAAATGCTTCTCAACTTCGTATGTGATTTTGCTTTCCAACTGTTTCGAGTGCTAATTACCAGTCTTATGTAGACGACACTCGCGCATCTGGCCTACCAAATCATTACCATGTATCTTTGGTGAGTTTTTACAACTAAAAGGGTTATCATATTATTATTTGTTTTAACACTGAACCGATTAGAAATTGTTTTTTTTTTATTTCTTTCTATTTCAGTTTTGAGAAGATCTATTTTTAATGTTCTGGATTACCACAAAGCAGAGTGAATATTGGAAAAAAAAAGAAAATGAAGACATCTTTATGATAGGTGCTGAAACCTTGAAATTTGCTGCACATCTTTCTCATTTCTTAGATTTCTTTTTTTTTATATTATATACCGTAAATACAATATCAATACATAAAATGGTTACCCATACAAAATCAATAGTTATATATTATGATAGCATGTTTTGCATGTTTTGTCCGATTTATACTTTTGATTTATAATTTTCCGTGCGACTTCTGATTTTAAAGCGTAGTCTGTTTGTTCTGTGATCTCTCTGCTGCTCGGAATAAGGTTTCGGCGTCAAAGTTTGTTTTCCTTATTATCATTTCCTCAAAGAAAATGAAAACATATAGGAGCCTCTAGCATTTGTTAGTCTTGTATTATTTTTAATTTTAGTTTCTTGTGTACAATTTGGAGTTTAGTATGGCGTTCATTATCACTGAACTAGTATATATATTTGTTTAGGGGCCAGCTGAAGGACGCCTCCGGGTGCGGGAATTTCTTGCTGCATTGTAGACCTGTTGGTGATCTTCTGCTGTTGTCTGTTCTATGGTCGGGTTGTTGTCTCTTTGAAACATTCCCCATTTCCATTCTCAATTTTATTCAATGATATTGAATTAGACTGACTTAACATGGCTTAGAAAATGTATCATTATTATGTGCTGAATTATTAACTATTAAGTCAACGCATTTTTATTCATAAAATAGATCGGTTGTAGTATAAATGTTTTCAACAGCACATCAGCTAAAAAAAATCGATGTTTGTATTGTCTATCAATCATTATGGAAACGATTGTCAACACGAAGTATCGTGCATAACGAGTTTCTCCGTTCCTGACAGTAAGCATGGTTAGAATTTAGGTATTCTATACACTGTTCAAGCTTTTCGATAAAGTAACTTCTGACGACAACAAATTAAGTTAATGTATAATTTCTGAAAAAGTAAGATAAAAAATATTGAAAAATTTGTTTAGAACACTACAACTATTTATTAGTTTAATAATAAATTTCCTTTAACAACGATAGGAAGATGAGTTTAAAATATTTTTTTACAATTCACACATGTGTATAGAGTTATAGGAAACATTTGGAATTAGACTTTTATACACGTAGTGTGTTTTTACAATAGTTTTACAGTATCTTTTTCGGGTTATAATTCAATTAAAGCACTTCAATAATTTCAACTAATTCTATTATAGCTTAAACAGAGACGTAATATATCTAGAAAACTAATATTTGGAACAGCATAGGCGGATACAGGGTGGGGGTGGGGTGTCGGCGCCTCCTCCCTTTTGTGGGAAAAATTTGGTTGATTATATAGGGAATCACTGAAGCATGACAGGAGCGGGCCCCCTCTTAGGGCAGTCAGTAGGCCCTCCTTATGAAAATTTCTGGATCAGCCACTGAACAATTTTCATTAAACTTTCCCAAATCATTTCAAAATTACATGCTTCGATTTATTGTTGTATTACATTGATTAATTCCTTTGAATGTTTCACGATTGTCAGTTCGAGGTTAACGTAAAGCGTAACCTAATCGGTTTTCTTAACAACTGAACCATACTATTGATTTCTTTTATTTTTAGAAACTAGTAGACCTTTTGATAATTTTTTGGACTATCGCAAAGTAGAACGAAGCTCACAAAATTGAAGATGGAGACAATTGCATGCTGCAATCGTGAATTTTCATTCTCATATTTCTTTTTGTCAATTATTGATAATGTATTGATAAAATAATAGTCCATTATTATTACTTGGGGTTGAAACAGACAAAAGTTTCCCAGAATTTCATTAAACATTGAATGTTGAATATATTGATTAAGTAGCTTGTGTATTTGAGGAAGGAGAAAAAAACGTAAACTGATAACTCAATAAATGTACGTATCTGGTCAGTTATTCTTCTTACTTTATTTGTATCAGAATTATGTTAGATTGTTACACATACAAATATCACTAAAGACATGTTTGAACTTTTCCTTGAGTGTAATCAACTGTTTCAATTTAAACATGTTAAAGAAGTATAATTCATATTATTTTGAATACTTTTCTTTTCAACACCTTCAATCGTTTTGCAAACCAACCATAATGAATACGTTCAACACATAAGTTTTTATATATATAAAATTGTTAAAAAGATAACAATCAGAACAGAACAGAACAACTAGAAATGAAAACAAAATAAAACAAAATATTATATCTTTACGGATTTTACTTATTATGAAATGCAGTTCTTTACTTCAAGCTATTTTTTTGTAACAATAATTAAGATTTCAACGTTTTAAACGAAATAGAAATCCATCACCCTCAATATTAAGCAGATATTTAAAGGAAAATGTAGATTGCCTTACAATAAGCAATAGTTCATTTGTATAAATTTTACGACATTTATTTCCATTTAACTGTGTCATAATACTTCTTAGTAGTGCTGGCATTATCCATATATTTGTGTTTATACCGTTTTATGTATATATCGTAAAGAGATACTTCAGGTGCTGAAGTTGTATATCTTTTCTTTTTACTTTAGTTTTCCCATTATTTGTCTTCATGCTATTATGTTTCTTTTGAACTTTTGACTTTTATCTTGATTCAGTATTTATACAGCTCGCCATCCGGCTTTTTACTTTTAACTTTGTGAATTCCTAGTGCTGGTGGGTCCTGAGGTGCGATCCGGACATAAAAGGGTTTTTACAGTGTTGTTTCTATTTTGGATACCCTATCGATAAAGAAAAAGCATTTACTATATACGGCAATGTACAACGACAAACACTTTTTGTTGACGTCATTCTCAAATTTAAATTTACTATCTACTTCACCTTTTTTGTTGTCGTCTTTGTATTAAAATACACCTGCGACGTAAATCTTTTGTTCAAATTCTCTATTATTTTTCAGGAATGCAGAGGTATTTTCTATTGTTCATCTTCATTCATCCGAATAATTTGCCCTTTTGATATTTCCATGGGCACTTTCTTAAAAATATTCACCCGTGGAAATAATTCTTAAGGACGTAACGCGATATTGAACGAAGATGAAAACTTACTAAAAAGGCTGCTACTGGAATTTTTTTAATTGGGACCGTAGTAATACAATGAACACCAAATATCTCATTATCAACAAACAGCTTTTATTTACGAGTCGTAATTCCATCGTATAATATATAGTATCGTATTCACTTAAATTCCACAACATTATCCACAATTTGTTTTCCGATGCAAATCTTGGCTGACTTTCTGTCACGGATAGTATCCAAACGGGTAAAACGAATATTTATTATTGAGCAGTTGAGTGCTATTCCTCTTTTATGTATCTTTCAAAATTTCAAATGTGTTACTGCTCTAAATGGATAAAACGAGAAAAAGCTGACAAGAAATCATTAGATTCTTTTTTTAATTCGGTAATGAACATAGTTGATATACGTATAAAACCAGTTGTTGGCATGATACGGGTTATGTCCTTCTCATATATTTTATGATGGTATGATACTAAACCATTAACGGGATGGATTGTGCTTGATTTTCATATAATGAAGACATAATCTTTCAATTCGTTTAATTGAGGTATGGAGCTGGCATGTCAGTTACTGCTAGTAGTTCTTTGTTTATTTATGTATCATTGTCATTTTGCTTAGTTTCTTTTGTTGCCTACTCCGACATCGGACTCGGACTTCTTTTAAACTGAGTTTTACTGTGCGTATTGCTGTGTGTTTCTTTATTCCACATTGGCTAGAGGTATAGGGGAGGGTTGAGATCTCACAAAACATGTTTAACTCCGCCGCATTTTTTTGCGCCTGTCCCAAGTCAGGAGCCTCTGGCCTTTGTTAGTCTTGTATGTTTTTTACTTTTAGTTTATTTATATGTTTTGGAGTTTAGTATGACGTCCATTTTCAATGAACTAGTACACATTTTTATTTAGGGGCCAACTGAGGACCACCTCCGGGTGCAGGATTTTCTCGCTTCGTTGAAGACCCATTGGTGGCCTTCGGCTGTTTTCTGCTCTTTGGTCGGGTTGTTGTCTCTTTGACATATTCCCCATTTCCATTCTCAATTTTATTGTCAGATTTTTTGTTTTTGTCAACATCATCGATGAAACGGAACCAAAACAGAGGTTTGGATAAAGATGTTGAAAGAATTTGTTTCTATAATTTTCCCATGAAAATATTGGCGTATGACGGAGGCATTTTCGTCCCCATCCCTGTCCCGTTTATCTGAAGGTAATGTTCACCATTAAAGGTGAAATTGTTGCATTTCAGAACCAGAGTGAGCAGCAGGACTAAACATTCGGTAGGTGGTTCTAATGTGTTACGAGAGTCCCATATTTTCTTACACGATTGTATTCCGTCATCATGAGGTATGTTGGTATACAATGAGGTTGCATCTAAAGTGACAAGGAGGGTTTCCGGAGGAAGAGGGTTCATGGATTCCATTTTACGAAGATAATCTGTTGTGTCTTGGATGTGAGAAGGAAGATTTTCTACATGAGATCTTAAATGAAAGTCTACGAATTCCGAGATTTTCTCAGTCGGGTGGCCGTTTGCGGATACAATGGGTCTACCAGGGTTGTTAACCTTGTGTATTTTGGGAAGAAGATACAATCGACCAGGCTTGGCGTTCTCTGGTTTGAAATATCCGATTGTATCCTCATCTATGTGACCTTCATCGTGCATGGTTTGTAACGCAGTAATAATTTTGGAACTAAACTCGGAAGTAGGGTCATAGTCAAGCTTCTTATAAAATCTCTCATCAGAGAGCTGACGCTCTGCTTCCGCGATGTAGTTAGCTTTGTCCATTATCACAACGGCACTTCCCTTGTCTGCTGGTTTTATCACAATATCATCTCGGTTTCTCAGCGATTGTATGGCTTTTTTCTCGTCAGAAGGGGTGTTATAAAATGACGAGTACTTGTTGCTAGCTAGATGAACAACATCCTATATGATTTTGTCGATAACATCTTCCAGTGTAGCAGATTTACTAGGTTTTGGAATCCATGAACTCTTCTTTTTAAAATGCGGAATTCTGATTTCTTCCTCCGAGTCAGACGTATCTGAGTCTTCCTAATTATCCTTGTTACTAAAATATTCTTTGATTATGAGGGTTCTGGCAAAGTTTCATAATATGAATCAAAGAATAATTCTAAAGATTTTCACAACGCAGAGCGAAGATTAAAAATAAATCAAAAACACATTTATAATGCTAGCTAAAATCTTGAATTTGTTTATCATTTATCATTACTTAAAATGCAATACCAATAAATAAAATAGTTACACATAAAATAACGTATAGTTTTATATTTGAATATCT